ACGATTATAGTGATATAATTTATAAAGAACGTATTTTTATGTACTTTTATTAATATATCATTATGTGTTAATATAACAAAATGTGTAAAATAAAAAATGGAAAATAAAAATGTAAGAGATATAAGATAAACTAAACAACTAATTATAAGGGTGTAAAGTATGGATGACAAAAAATGACCCAACCCGCTAACCCAACCCGAAACCAACCCAAAATTAACAGGTTGGTTTGAGATTTTCAACCTATTTAAATTAGTGGGTCAATCCGCCTAATCCATTTAAATAAATGAGTTGGGTTGAGTTGAATTTTTCGACCTGTTTTCAACCTATTTAAAATATTATATAATTTTATTTTATTCTTAATATTATATCTAGTATTCTAATTTTTAATTTTGTTTTATTCTTAATTAAAAATCTTACTATCGTGAGATAAAACTCCAAATTCTAATCGCCTCAATTATTCTTAATCATCATGAAGCCCTAAAAAAACTCTTTAGTCCATTACTCTATTATCGCCTCCAAAATCCAATCCAACTTATTGTGAATAATATATTTGTTGTGATTGTGTTTTATTCAAACTTTGAACAATTTGTTTGCATTTGTGGTTGTGTTTTATTCAAAAAAAAATTAAATAGTCTAGTACTTTTTTATTTAAAGTTTTAAAATTGAATCGGTCAACCTAGGTTCAACTCATTTATTTAACAGGTTGGGTTAAGAAAATCATAAACATGTCAACCCGCTATCAACCCATTTAGGTAATAGATTAGGTTGGATTGAGATTTTCAACATGTTTAATAAATAGGTTGAACATAAATCCAACCTGACCCATTACTACCCCTAGTGTAAAGGGTAAAAATAGTTTAATATGAGAGTTTAGGCATATAATTATTTTATTTCTGTAAACTATTTTTACACTTTACACCCTCTTGCATTTATTCTTGAGCGTATTGACGAGACGATTATAATAATGTAGTTTATAAAAAAAAACGTATTTTTTATATATTTTAATTAATATACGATATGAGATGTTTATCATGTATTTAATTATGTTTATTTGTAGTTAATAACATGAATTTAGAATGAAACTATAATAAGTTGTACTTATGTATAATTTACTTGTTATCTTGACTTTCAATTAATATGCATCAATAAACAATATTTTATATAAAAAAAGTTTCTAAGAGTTTTTATCAAATACTTTATAATATACTAGAAAGATACGCATGCAATGCAGCGAGATACATATTGATTTTAACATTTCATTTTATATTTTGGGTCTATCGATGTTATAATGAATTTTATGTGATTTCGAGAAAAAGAAAATGTTTTTATTTTTTAATGAAATATAAATTTTAAGATATCATCCAAAACTGAAAAAAAATAAAAATACATAGATCGATATTAATATCAAATTAACTATTTAAAACTTCTCGTTTTTTGTGTAATTTTTTTAATTCTTTTTTTATTATAATTTAATTTAAGTTTAATAACTAATTAATTTATTTTGGTTTTAACAATATAATCTTTTATAAATATAATAATTAAATATTCTGTTAAAACTAAATATATATCCCAATTATATATATTTTAGTTTTTTAGTAGATGTTTATCATGTATTTGATTATGTTTATCTGTAGTTAGCAACATAAATTCGAAAATGAAGCTTTAATAAGTTATACTTACACATAATTTACTTGTAATCTTTAAACTTTAAGTAATATACATCAATAAACAATATTTTATATATAAAAAAAAGGTTTTCCAAAAGTTTTTATCAAATGCTTTATAATACAGTACATATTATATAAAATACATTACATTTGTTTTTAAAATAAACCAATCTAAAAAAAATTGAGGGTATCCATTTATTCTTGATTTGGGTATCATTGAGCATGCTCCATATTCATTGTTTGTGCAAGATGAATATGGAAGGATTCCAAGGTCATCTTCATAGCCTTTTGCCATGCCACCTTCTTGCTTATCACTAAAGAAAAGAAGATTATAACCTAAAAGATATGCTTTGCTTCCATTTAAACAACTAATCATACCACTTATATAACTCCAACCCACCTTCATCTATTCATCAATGCATATCTTCCATATTTCATAGATCTAAAACAACCGAAAACGACAGTGAAAACGTGGAAAAAACGATGGGGCTTCTTGCAGCGATTGCTAGACATTTAGATACGCTTGTGGGGTACGTATCTGGACTTGTATTGATGGATTTGAATCTTGGTTTCCTGTCGATTGAATTAATTGTTTGATTTTGTTGATTTGAATCAGGCCGGGAGTAATGCTTCTTTTCCCCTTGTAAGTTAGCGGTTTCTTTTTTCATTGGGGTAATATCTGTTGGATAAGATTAATTTGCAGTTACACTTGTATAGAGATGCACAAGGACGGGTTAAGATCCGTCCTTGGGCCCAATCTTGCAAAACTCGGTTCAATAAGAAAATGACATAACGGGCCAAGTGTTAATCAGCTAGTCATGGTCTTGAAATTTTGGGTTTGAATCGGTACTTAAACTGGTTTTGACCCATTCTATTTAATTTTATATTTTGGATATCTTTTAGAATTATATAACGTCTATAACACCTCCAAAAGTATATTTTTACCGGATAAAATAAAACCAACAAATTAGATTTCCTATAATACCCTTCAAACTAGCTGTTATGGTAGGCAAAACTGTCTTTTTACAAGTTAAAAAATAAAAAAGACAAACTATAAAATGCCCAATTTTTACTTTTTTTTAGGAGACCCATTAACCGCGCTTGGACCGGGTCTTGCAGATTGCAATAACCGATCATGTATGAGAATTGTAGAACAAGTCGGGCTTTTGGGTCTAGAGCAAGTCCAGTTACAATCCTTCATGTACCCGTTCAATTTGGTCGGGCCCAGATCGGCCTTCAGGCCCATTTATGTATCTCTATCTCTACACTTGTGTATAACATTTGTTATGCAGTGATGAAAGTCATACCGAAATGACCCATTTTGATCAAATGAGAAAAACACGTTCGTTTTCTGTCAAATGAAACGTTCATTGAATAACATTCTTCCCTCCATTTGGTTAAATTTCCGTTTATCGGAGGAGGAACCCACTTTCAAATGGTTTTTTCGCTCCTAAAGATCCATTCCAATAACAACAGTGTGGTTTACTTTTTAAACATTGATTTGTCGATCCCTAATGCAAAAACGCAATAAAGGAAATATTTGGTTGTTCGGTGCATAACTAACGGCTATGATTTCACGGATTTATGAAAAGGTATGCATCGATGCTAGCGATCGAGAGTTCTTCAAAAGAAGATGATCAACAATGGCTCACCTATTGGGTTTTATACTCCTTCATAACCCTTTTCGAACTTTCGTTCTGGAAAGTCCTCCAATGGTATGTAGTTCGTTCAATTTTACCTGACATAAATTGTAATAAAAATCCCTTTTCTCCAAATTTCACCTTTCTTTTATGTCACACCAATCACATAAAGACATTATTATTATTATTATTATCTATTTAATATTAATATAACTAGAAGGGTACTCGCGCAATACAACGAGATATGTCTTGATTTCAATGTTTCATTTTATTTTTTTGGTCATTGTCGATGTTATAATACGAATTTGTGTGGTTTTGAGCAAACAATAATGTTTTTCTTAATAAAATATAAATTTGGAGATATCATAAAATAAAAAAACATATAAAAGTTCTCATTTTTTTGTGTTATTTTTTTTAATTCAATTCTTCTATCATAATTTAATTTAGGTTTGATGACAAAATAATTTATTTTTGGTTTAATAATATAATTTTTATAAAGATAATAAATAAGTTAGAACTCAATAATTATCCTAATTATATTTTAAATATAAAAAATAAGAATTTTATTTTCTATTTGATTATATTTATCTACGGTTAGTTATACGAATTCAAACATGGAGCTTAATAAGTTGTACTTACGCACAATTTACTTGTAATTTTGAATTTTAAGTAATATGCATCAATAAGTAATACTTCATTTATAAGGATGTTTTTTAAAGAGTTTTTGTCAAATGCTTTATAATATAGTATAAATTATTTCATCTTCTTGTCACTCCTCAAAAAAAAAAAATTACATGATTGGAGACATGAAATTTGGGGAGATAAAATTTTATTCCACAAATTGGGGAACCTCAGGCAACCCGTAAGATCAGGATTACGGGTTGCTTCATATTCACTTAAAATTTGACTGATTTGGGGTAAACAGGCTTCCATTTTGGCCATACTTGAAGCTTTTGTTCTGTATGTGGTTGGTGTTACCGGGGATCAACGGGGCCGCATACGTATATGCAAATATAGCAAGAAAGTACGTTAAAGTGGGAAGCCACGTCAGCTCAAAGTACCCCGAAGGACAACGGAAAGTTCTCCAAATGATGAGCATCGACGCTCGTAAGTCTGTGGAGCGTTACATCGAGAAATACGGACCCGAAGCGTTTGATCGAGTCGTCAAAGCGGTAAAACCATAACCCTATTTCATCTCCATCACTTTTGCCACTCGTTAATTATCAACGTTATTTAAAAAAAACGAGATTAGAACTTATTAGATGTAAAATAATCCATTTAAATTATATTTTATTATTAATGAGTTAAAAGGGTTTAAATTATTTTATTAAAAAAATTAAATAATAAATTATATGATAATTGTGATTTGGTTGCAGGCTGAGAAGGAAGCAAACAGAAAATAAGAAAGAAATATGGAGTTCTAATTTTATGGTATTTTATAGAAAATATCCAACCAATGTTGTTAGTTTATTTATTTTTAATTAATTTTTATTTTATTTTAATTTCCCAATATGTATTTTATGGTATATTTTTTTACATTAATTTATAATCGATATCACTGAAGCTTTTTTCTTTTTCATTTATGGCTATGAATCAATGTTACCAGGGACGTTTCAATTTTTTTTAGAGGTCTTGTTAAATCTGAAACTTTTGATGACATTGCATAAAAGATAACAATAATACATATATGTTAAGCACAAAAGGACGCTAATAACCACATGGGTGGTGCCTAATTGGTTTGAGCTTGACTCCGAAGATCAAAAGTACCAGGAGGTCTCAGGTTCAAATTCAAGGAGAAATAAAAATCCCTTTATGGCCACGGAGGTTCAAATGCAGTGACTCGGGCTATCTGCAAAGCAGGTAGTCCCTCTGGGATTAGTCGGCTTGCATAGCGACTTGGATATCCAGGTTAATTAAAAAAAAGGACGCTAATCCTAAATGATCAACAATCTGAACCTAAACCTAAACCATTAATAATTTGAATCTAAACATAATCAATTAACAATTTGAACCTCAACAATTTGAGCCATACCTTTATACAGATTGATGAAAATACCCTAAATATATGTAAAATTGGGCCACCAATATTTTGGAAGTCCTATTCAAGATCTCACATTTAACATGCTAAGGGAAAGCATCAACGTTGCTCTTTCTACCCAATATTCCATCAAATTTGAACAGAAACCAAAACGAAACTTCTGGAACTTTCTCCCTTATAATTTAAGTGAATAATTCTTTTTTGAAGTTTCCAAATGACAATAACCAAATTAAAATCTTAAGCAAAGTTTTACTTAAAAGCAACGTATTATTTAAAAACACAGAGCAGTAGAAAGCAGATTTTAGAAACCCTCAATAAAAACAACTACGAAATGCAGTTAAGAAAAGGTCCGAAAAAAGGTTAAAAGCAACAAACGAGCTCCTAAAAACACAAAACAAACCAAGAAGGTGCACAAAATGGAGTGAATAAGCCACCGAAGATGTTAACGAAGAAAGACAAGAAGTTTGGATTATCGATTCATTTTTGCTTATATCACTCATCAAAACTATATTTCGTTATTAATATATTTAATAAAATATTATTTTTTTATAAATATTTTATTGATGAAAATGATTAAAAAAAATGCTTTCTATTTTATAAGCTATGATTTTGTAACAGCCCTTCCATGCAGATAGAAATTTGGATTTATGAATTATCCCGTAAATTCAAAGTTATCAACTACTAATTACTTTATATCCCAAATAATAATTATCAATAATATAACAAATTATCTTTCTGGTAATCAGGGGTAGATTCGTAATTACACGGGGAAAAATTTTAGGACCAATAAGATCTCATTAAATTTTAGGACCAATAAGATCTCATTGAATTTGACATTTTTTTCTTATGGATATTACAGATGTAATGACATTTGGTTCCGGAATGCCGACGGTCATTTGAGCTGATTTCTCAAAATAAGAGCATTGTTTCAGACTTGTTCTGCAACTTTGATTATGAGGAAATTTTTCGAACACCAAATTTACTTTGTTTTCTGTGGATCATTGATTTTAGGTTCGATCTATTTGTTCATAAGTTCGAGCATCTTTGCGTTGGTTGTTCATTGTTGAAGGTCTCAGTGTTCAAGCTCTCTCGTTAATTTTCTACGGTTAGTTCTCCTTATTCTCCCCTTTCTATTTCTTCGTTTATCCGGACTAAAGGAATCGATTGTTGTTTCCAGTTCTTCAAATCTAGGGTTTCTATATATTTGGAGTTTTGATATATCTGATCATCGTTTGTCACTTATCTTTCGTGTTCTTGGCTACGGTTCATAGATTATTATCAGTTTTATTTTTCTCTTAAATCGGTTCTTGTGGTTTGTCTTGTGGTATTTTTTGGCTGGGATTTTTGATCATTCAGGAAGCAAGTCAGAATTGCTTTTCAGAACTGCTTAATTGAAGATACAGTTGCCTTAATTTCTATTTTTGTTGTTTGGATTTGGTCTCCATAACTATTTATCAGTTCCATATTTGGATTTGATTCAAATATTTCTCCCCCCATCTGTTTTTGGTTTTTGATCAAGTGTAAGAAATCATAATCTAGTGAAGAAACCACGCAATAAATAATATTTATAACATCATGGACGCATATCGTGAATTCGATACTTGTTCCTTTTCCTTTTTTATAAGTATATAATACTGCAAATACTTATATTTGAACCCTTAACCTCCTTGCAGCTTGTGATCCGCTGATCAATGACCCTTTCGGTAAGCGTGATAAGCTAACTCGTTGATGTTTGGGGATCGTCGATCTGTAAGTATTCTCTGTGTCCAGCCGAGCAGTTGGTAATATTGAAGCGGGTGTAAACTTCCCGACGGAGGTCTCCTTGGCCTATAGCCAAAGCCACCTTTGTTTTATGTTTCATGATCAGTATACTCAAGTTCATATTGTTATCCGCTCACTTTTGGATATGTCGTTTTCATTTAGAAGCAACAAAAGGCTTTTATATTTGTGCAAATTGCATGAAAAAATAGCGTACTTAAACTTGATTCATATTTTGGGTAACATACTTTGAGAACATCCATTTTGGTACCTAAGATACAAAGTTTTAAACATTAATGTACCCGGGTAACCGGTTGAAGCCTTAAGCGGTTACCATGCTGATGTGGCGAGTAATATGATATCCAACTCAGTATTATTTACTATTCAACCCAATTTCATTCCATCATTTGTCACATCAACATGGTAACCGCTTAAGGCTTCAACTGGTTACCCGGGTACATTAATGTTTAAAACTTTATATCTTAGACATCAAAATAGATGTTTTCAAAGTACGTTACCCAAAATATAAGTCAAGTTAAAGTACGTTATTTTTTCATCTAATTTACTCTTTACTATCATAAAAGCGTAGAATGTAAGACGACCTCCTTCGTCTACGTCCCAAACTCTTGGATCCACTACCAAAGAGAGAATATCAAGTTACAACAATTTTAGGTTCCATGAATGAAAGGATTTTGCTTCTACTTGCTCTAGTTGTAGGTTTTATTATGTTTGTAGTTCACAAACGAAAGAAAACGTTGAAAAAATGAATGTCAACTCGATTTTCTTATGAAGAATTGAGAACCGTCATAGAATTTTGTTTATAGAACTTGATCAAGGAGCATCGAAAAATCAGTTTTCGGACGGAATCTTTATGACGACTCGAAGATTGCAGTCAAATGTCTTACGAGTGTCAAGAAATCTTTCCTAGTTGAGGTCAAATCCATTGGTAGCATTCACCATGTGAATCTAGGTTGGACTTGGAGGATTTTGTGCCTAAAAATCACGACAACTTCTCATTTATGAGTTCATGAGTAACGAGGCATTAGATTGGTGGAGATTGAAAGCATGTTTGCTAAAGGGTTAACATATCTCCATGAAGATTGTAGGCAAAAAAAAAATATTCACCTTCATATTAAACCTCAAAATATACTCATATACAATTATCTTAATGCCGGATAATTTGATTTTGGGTTGTCTAAGCTCATCGATAGAAATCAGACAATTATTACATCCCTACTACGACCATGCTACTACCGTTATTGTCACGCCCCTTACCTAACCTCCAACACCACACCATTATTGTCGCTGTCACAACTGCCACTCACCTCCACCCTACCCTACCCTACCCTACCCCAACCCACAACTGACCACTACTGTCGTCATCATACCCAGCCACCCGACCACCATTCCACCACTTTCGTCATCACAACTCTCCGCCACCCATCCCCACACCCCCCCCTAACCTAACCTAACCCCCACCCCCACACCACTATAGTTGTCTTCACAACCGCCACTCACCTGCACCCCACCCTACCCAAACCCACCATGCCACTATTGTTGTCGTCATACCCACTCACTCCCAGGCCCCAGCCACCCGACCACTATCATCGCCACAACTACCACCCCACCACCTACCCACCCTACCGTCCCGTCCCGCCCCACCCCACCTTACCCTACTCCAACCCACCACTAACCACCATCCTACTATTGTAATTGTCACAACTACCACTCACTGCCCCATCCCACCCTGCCTGCCCCCAACAACCCCAACCTATAGAGCAAGGTTTAGGTAGGGGTGGGGCAGGGTGATAGTTGTGATGATGACAGTAGTGACATGATGGTTGGTAGGATGTGACTGCAGGACGATGGGTGGAATAGTCCAAACAAAGACGGTTGTTCCAATTATTTTAAGAGATTTCATTCCAATTCCTACCAACCAAACGCACGGTCAAATTACATTCAAATTCCTTTGATAGATTTCAATTCCATCAAATTCTATTCTCTGAACCAAACACCTCCTTAGGTTCCATTTGGTCTGATAGAATGTTTTTGTGGGATTTGAAATCTATGGTATATTAGGTTTTAAGGATTTGGAATGAAATTGAATTCCATTTATTATAAATAATTAATAAAAACAAATTGTAAAATATAATAAAAATAATTTAATTATTTTTTTATTAATTAATTATTACAAAACATGTATTCTAAACATATTTTAAAACATTATTATAAACAAATTTTATGACTACCTTCATGGGATTTCTAAATCCTATGTTTATAGGATTTTAATAAAATTCCAGAATTTAACAAACAATTTTTTAAACCGAACCTATGATTAGAATAAAATTGAATTTTAAATCCCTCTGAATCCTATAAACCAAACAGCAACTAGAGTTTTTTTTCCCTTGGGAAGACATCATATTTCTCCGAGAAGTAGGTGGCGCAAAGTAAATGTGGTGGGAGTGGGACTGTGGGATCCACTAGGAAATGATGGTGAATACCACATGCGCAGCATTACTTGTGATTAAATTAGTCAACGATCATAGCATCAACCTTGACTTGCTCAAGCCATATATATATATATATATATACATATATATATATATATACATATATATATATATATATATATATATAATATCATGTATTCATCTCCTCTTATGCTATTTACATTTTCATGAATGATGAGGGTGCCATGGATTTCTTGTTTATTCTTTGCCTTTTTTGTCATCTTATTTTGCTACTCATCCTCTGCCCAGCCTTTTGACTACCCAACTGCAAATCTTTCCACCACATGGACCAACGACGAATCTGCACCCCACTCCATAAATTTCACCGATGGCTCAAGGGTTAGATCCATCCTCCTTAGAGGAACCTATGGACACAAATTCGCCTGTGGCTTCTTCTGTAATGGAACCTGCACCTCTTACCTTTTTGCAATCTTCATTGTTCAAACCAATAGTGTGTCCAATATCGTTGCACCCGGTATAGCGTTTCCTCAAGTCGTTTGGTCAGCCAACCGAGACTATCCGGTTGGGATTGGTGCAACATTAAATCTCACAGCATCTGGAGAATTGGTCTTACAGGATGTTGATGGAAGCATAGCTTGGACTACCAACACTACCAAGAAATCTGTTGTTGGCATGAACTTAACAGATATCGGAAACCTGTTGTTGTTTGATGTCGATGGTAAGGTGGTTTGGCAATCTTTTGACCACCCAACAGACTGTTTGGTACTAGGCCAAAAATTGTTTCAAGGACAGAAGTTGATACCTAGTGTTTCATCAACCAATTGGACGACTCAAAAAGGTATGTACTCTCTTCAAGTCACGAATCAAGGTTTGTTTGCTTCTGTTGAATCAAACCCACCTCAAATCTACGATGATGGCTTGGTCACTCGCACAAATCCAAATAAAGAACGAAGTTATGTTAGGTTCTTGAATGGGAGTTTGTCGTACTTCATTGTTTCTACCGAGCCAAGTGATCCTGACATGTGGATTCCTATACCTCAAGCATCATCGGTGCAGTATATGAAGCTAATGCCAGATGGGCATTTAAAAGTGTTTGAATGGCAAAACAGGTGGATAGTGTTGGCCGATCTACTTACAGGTCCTCTTGGAGAGTGTGGTTATCCTTTGGCTTGTGGGAGAAATGCCCTTTGCTCGGGTAATCAACAATGTAGTTGTCCAGTATCGACCTCGCCCAGGAAAGAATATTTCAGACCAATGAACGATCTGCAACCCAACTTGGGTTGCACAGAAATTACTCCTCTCTCATGTAATTCTACCCAAGATCAAGATTTTATTGCACTCACGAATGTTGAATACGTCACTTTTGTTGCAAACATGGAGACGGTGAATATAGAGGTTTGCAAACAAGCGTGTATGAAGAATTGTTCGTGCAAAGCAGCTATATTTCATTATGGTTCGAATTCTTCAAGGGGAGATTGTTATTTACCTTCTGAACTCTTTACGGTGACAAGTATTGATCCAGATGTAATTCATTACAATTCTTCAGCTTTCTTAAAAGTCCAAAATATAAGGCCACCTCCTTCATCTACATCCGAAAGTCCTAGTCCATTAGCAAAAAGAAAAAATCGAGTTGCAACAGTTCTAGGTTCCACAATTGGAAGTATTGTGCTTCTGCTTATTGTGGTCATAGGATTTGTTATTTTTGTAGTTCACAAACGTAAGATGAAAGCTGAAATGGAGGAAGAGTATTTAGATCAAGTACCAGGAATGCCTACTCGGTTTTCCTATGAAGAACTGAAAACTGCCACAGAGTGTTTTTGTAAAAAACTTGGTCAAGGAGGATTTGGATCAGTTTACGAAGGGACACTCACAGATGGCTCCAAGATTGCAGTCAAATGTCTAGAGGGCCTTACGCAGGTTAAGAAATCTTTCCTAGCTGAGGTCGAATCTATTGGTAGCATTCACCATGTGAATCTAGTTAGACTTCGAGGATTTTGTGCTTGGAAGTCGCAACGACTTCTCGTTTATGAGTTCATGAGTAACGGATCACTAGATCGGTGGATCTACCAAGGAGATCGAAAGCACGTACTCAAATGGGAATGCAGAAAGAAAATTGTTCTTGATATAGCCAAAGGGTTAGCATATCTCCATGAAGATTGTAGGCAAAAGATCATCCACCTTGATATTAAACCTCAAAACATACTCCTAGACAGTGATTTCAATGCCAAAGTATCTGACTTTGGGCTGTCTAAACTCATCGACAGAAATCAAACCCAAGTGATAACTACCATGAGAGGAACTCCCGGCTATTTAGCTCCAGAATGGTTGAGTTCAATTATCACTGAAAAGGTAGATGTATACAGCTTTGGTATCGTTCTCTTGGAGATCTTGTGTGGGAGAAAGAATTTTGATAGATCTCAACCGGAAGAAAGTTGGCACTTGCTTGGTGTCTTTCAGAAAGGATGGGAACAAGGGAATTTGTTAGATATAGTTGATAAATATAGTGACGATATGCAGGCACACGTTGAAGAAGTGGTGGAGATGATGAAAGTGGCTTCCTGGTGTTTACAGAATGATTTCACGAGAAGGCCTTCAATGTCAACTGTTGTTAAGGTGTTAGAGGGAGTAATGAATGTTGAATCAAACTTAGATTACAACTTCTCACATCCAAGTATGCAAAAAACAACAGTTGGACATGAGAAAGATTTGACACCATTGTTACCTTCTATTCTATCAGGGCCAAGGTGAGCAGCAGCAATGATGTAGTTGTATATCACTTATATGTTCCCTTTTAATACTAGTATATTTCCTATTTCAAGATCAAGTAAACTGCTCGTTTTGGATGAATTTTCTTAACCATGACAGGACAAACCTCATCTAACCATGTTTAATACTACGGTGCTTACTTACAATTGACAAAGGAAAGAGCCAGATTTCTATGTTAATAACATGATTAAATGTTAAAAGTAGTCTAAGAAGTCATGTGCTATTCAGATACCTTGGCTAGCAATAGTGATCAGTGGAAAAATTCCAGCCAATTTTTCATCAAAAATGTTACTTCAAATCCTATAGAAAATCTTCCTACATACTATAAAAGCACATGCACATGTGTGTATATATATATATATATATATATATGTATGTATGTCAGTATATTGTATGTATATGTATGCATATTTATTACGTATAGATGATGTGTACGTGTATTTATGTATGTCTCTATGTAAATATATGTATGTATATGTGTACTCTCTATATACACAATGTGTGCATGTATAAATATATGTGTGTGTGAAATTTCAAAAGAGAACACCTTCATTTTACAAAAAATACGAGAACACCTTTATCAGGTGTGATAATACACGTGAAGGGACCGTGTGCAGGCCAGGTCGACCCAGGTTGCCTGTGTCTTTAATTTGGTAATTTAGTATCACATATGATCGACTATAGTAAAAGGGTGTTCTCCTCTTCGTAAATTGAAGATCTTCTTGTCTGAATCCTTCCTTTTATATAGTTGTATTAAGATTATTAAAAAATAGCTGTAATCCTTTTCGAGCATCTGGACATCAGTAAAGATCAAATTTCAAAATTCTGCCTGCCCAAAATATAGATCTTCTTTACGTAGGATAACGAGTGAATGATGGAAATTTGCAAGTTACATTAAAAACAAAATAAATAATATTGAAGATGTATCTAGCTTTTGGTAGATTTGATCTTGAGTCTCATCTCAATAGGTATGATATAGGTGCACCATAAAAAAACCTAACCTCAAGCTTAGCTGGACTTGTGTGCATGATATAGCTTGCACTAGTTTGAGTAACAGGTTCCTAGTAGTCTAAATATTTTAGCAGGTTTTTTAAGATAAATAGATGTTCAATTTAGAAGATTAAGGGGCCGTTTATCAAACACATACTAGGCAAGGCTTACCGGGTGTCACTTATCTACCGAGTGAGCATAACAAGAACCGAGAATCTTACCCGGTAAGTGAGGAAAAAGACTCTTACCGGTAAGCGCTTGCAGGGTAAAAGGGGATAACCAACAATTCAGTTTGATGGATGAGAATGTTGCCTGATAAGATAAGTGAGGGAGTGAGGGTGGTGACTCTTGCCAGTTAGCACTTACACGGTAAGCGTTTGGTAAACGGCCCCTAAGATCCAATAGCAGAAGTACTACAGGTTCTTATTCGTTTGTCTATATCTTTTGATTGATTGTCTTGTTACAGAATGCATTACGAGTTGAATGTCACTTGTTTACAAGAATAGGTGGGTAAAAAGCCTAACATCTGTTGGGAACAAAACAGCCTCGATTACAAAAATCAAAAAGTAATAAAATGACTCATACTTTCAACTTGATATGAGATATGAAGAAGTGATATCTACAGAAACTCACATATTACTCAACCGAACGCATCACCATCTTCCCAGAAAGAACTCCTTTCAAACAGCTCGTCCATTTAGATTTTGAATGCATTTATAATATAAATACAGCCCTAGGAAGATCAAAACAAGTCAGCACCACCTAATTCATCCCAACATAACAAAAAAAACACAGAAATGGCAAATTTGGCTCATGTTAATAAAACATATCAAGCTCAAAATGTGAGGGGGGAAGCGTTGATTAATCTATTTGCCACTCAGAAAACGAAATACAAGTCAGGTACCAGCAATCCAGCATGGTCACTAGTTAAATTTTAAAATGAACAGTTCACTAATAGTTGAAAGAAAAGACACAATCATGTCAAGACTCGATAACAGATAATCTATTATACTTAAAAAGAAAATAAAATCAATAAATATAGTAATTTTAACAACATGCAATCATAATTCTAATTTGAACATAAAACCGATCTTTGTTCAAATTTATAAATGAAGCATTGATGAATTCAGATAGAAAAGATCTCCAAATTTCAAAATTAATGATGTCAAATTATGTGCATTGCCAACTGCTTTTCCAGTTCGGCAATGTCATCATCTTCCTTTCTTGCTAGTTTCCTAGCATTCCTACCATCCTCAGGATGCCTTGCCCTGAGATTTTCTTTCTTTCATGTTGGGATCTCTTAATCCTTATTACACACACACACACACAAAATGTATTTAGAGTCCTATAAAGACAAAATAATGAAATTAAAACATAGATGCTTCTTCGAATAAAGATAAGTTTGATGATGCATAACAAGAAGACACAAAAGATTAGTGAGAAAAGATGCTTGTAAAAAAATGCCCGTCTTGGCAATACGATTACTAGATTGACAAAAACAACTATAAACCAAACCTCATTTTGCCAATCTAATCATAGTGCCAACACGAGCATTTCTTACAAGCATCATTTCTCAATAATCTTGTGTCTTTTTGTCATGCAGCCTTCTACCTATCTTGACTCGAAGGCAAAGGATATTTGATACCATGACGTTTTTAACGAAAAGTTTGTCACCTTTCAGTGACTCATCTTCAATGATCAGGCCCATCTTGAATGGACTAAAACCAAGTTAGAGAAAGGTACTATTTGTGCTCTTAAAAAGAACATTTTCGATGAAGTAAAATTGATCCACTCAATGGTGCAGAAAGTTGTTTTCTGATCATTCTGCTCATCGTCATGGTCAGTGAGGTCCTTTAGCTATTGAATCTATACCGTGACAAAAAAAAATCAACACATCAGAATTGGCAACTGCAAAACAAATGACAAAAAGCAGCAAGGTCACCTACACAAAATAATAACTCAATTCCAGCAATAACAACAAATGAATCTGCATACATTTCAGAAATTTATTAAATAAAACAATATCTTTAAAAAAGCAGGCCAATATGAGGCAGTTGCAAGGGAGCAGTAACAAAACACAATTCTTGTATGGGACAATTTCCCATTCTGGCCATGAATTTATACCTCAACATCAGGTAATGCAGAAACATTAAAAAAAACAGCATCTGTACATTTACTAGTCACATATGCATATTAATTAGCACTCAACCTCACAAATTACACCAAGAATATACAAGATAAAAAGAATTGAAATTGTGGTGATTGCAGCCAAAGAATCTTTGTTTTCTTTCTACGGCAAAGGATTTAGGTAAGGTATCTTATTCAAGCATTGATTCAGCTTATATTTGTGGTTAACATGCTAATGGCAGTTGATTAAAGCGAATGGGGAACAGTGAAGTAGTGAACACATTGTGATCAGACGCCGAACAAGGGCCAGTATATAGAAGATTAGCAACCAATGTACTAGGAGAAACTGGGACCTCAATCAAAGCAAGAAATTAAAGAAATCTAGAAATTAAAGAAATCTAGAAATCAAACACTAGAAATCCCGAGATTCAAATCTAGTTCCAGACAGTAAGCAGGCGTTTGGTTGCACTGGATGTTTCTTTAGGAGAGATTTAAGTTTTGGTGGAAGGATTTGGAATTACAAATTTGGAATAGAATTGGGTTCCATTGTTTATAGATAATCTATAAAAACAAACTATAAATATATATATAATTGTAAAATAATTAAATTACCAATGTTTTTTCATTCATATTTTAAAACACTGTTACAAACAAATCCCTAAAAAATCAATCGGCAACATACCAAACACTGTATTATTTCCAAATGCAATGTGTGTGGGATTTTATTTAAATGGGGATTTCAGTTCTGGACTTTCCTTTAAACCAAACCGATCAGAATGAAATCTCATTATACATATGTGAAATCGAGTTTAAAGTTACACATCAATGAACAATGGAAGCATGAACAGAAGACTACTGAACCGCTAAATTTAACCTATCGACTATGTTGGCAAACCTTGAACACAAATTCGTGTTTGCTTACTTCGGTATATCATGACTTTGGTCGATTGGAGGTTGGAGATGGGGATGACTTGTTGTGTAGAAGCATAAACCGTAAAAATTCATAACTCCGGTGACGATTTTCTGAACTTGTTTTCGTCGGAGTTTGATCGAAGGGACGAGAGAGAAGGAATTTAGGGGTTTGGATCGGTAGAGGGAAAAGGATCAAAGTGATCCGGATGGTAAGAAACGGGCCGGGTTTGGGAGTTTTATACCCGTATCGGTTGTCACGGATCGGCTCCAAAGAGGGTCCGCGTGTTTTTTTAAAGTGAAGTTTCGGAGTTGGCAGATTCAGCCCCTGAAGTCTTGGATTTTATTTAAAACCCACCGGTATTTAAAAAAAGTAATAACATCTCTAGCATCTATGCTAAAATAAAAAAATCCCACATTTTTTTTGCTTCAACAGTTATGCTATCATGTATGTTAAAATAGAAAAAAAAATGGTGTAAATATCCAAATTTGGAGGAATATCTAAAACTTAATATTCAAGAGAGAGAAATAATATTTGATTCTTTCTACCAATAAAAGACATTGAAATATAATGTTTTCAAGAAATAAATAATATTTTATTTAATGTTATTAAATATTTCAATAATATAATTAATGTTGGAATCTATAAAATATATTATTTTCGGAGTTGGATGTAATTTTTTTAAAGATTTTGATTTTTGATACTATATTTTAGAAAAATTATAGAATATCTGCTTGAGATGCTCTAATCCCTAATCAAAGTGATTACGCTTTATCTTTTGATGTTAGTTGTTGCTTGTTGTTGCCATTGTTGGCTCGTGCTCATGTTGTTGTTGTCCCGTTGCTACATCCAACGCTTGTAACTCATTTGTTCTTGTTGTTGTTTCATATCAATGGCTCTATATATATATATATATATATATATATATATATATATATATATATGTTAAAACTGCATTAAACCAACGTATCAAAATCATATATCATTGCATGGACAGACCTATAGTGGTGCATATGCTAGCATGTGCCACCGTATTATTCCTCCGTCAAAGGGTAAAAAAAATTAAGCTCGTGAAAAATGCAACCGTATTAATATGTTGTATGTCACCATATGTATTTTGAAACTACAATGAGAACAAGTTTTATTTGGTAGAGTTGGTTTGCAAAGCTTTTATTCCACCCAGACCCAAGTTCGAATCTTGTTAGTATCATTTTCTTAGTTAAAAATGATGCAACCATTTGAAAAAAAATTATGTATATTTATTTCTTATAGTCAAAGGGTGTCACCACTTGAAATTTTTTCCCTATAGTTTTTTCTTATAGTCAAATGGTGCCACCGTTTTAAAAAAAAATTAGGTCCGTCCCTATATCATTGGTAAAGAAAAGCATGGATCGTGCACCTATGCTATCTTTGAGTTAATATGTGATTTCGTAATAAAACGGTTTCCAATAATAAAGAGGTAATTTCATAATTTTTACAAGTACACATATATGAACCTGTAAAAGTTCACATATGTATATATAGTTCATGTGTATCACATGAGTTCACATATGAAACCGTTTGTCACCTATTTGTAAAAGTTACAAAACTACCTCTCTATCTTACGCATACCCATACGAGGAATTTTCTATTGTTTCACGGTCAAAGTCGCAAATGTTAACCAAATGAATGACTAAGATCACTTATTTACTTCTCAAATATTATGTTGAAGCACGTCAAACCAACCGTTTTTGCAGCATGATGAAAAAAAAATAGTATATGTACTTTTAGCCTTTACTTTAGGGATGATAAAAAAAGACAATCGAAAGTACAAGGACCATAATTGTAATTAAATCTAACCACAAGGGAATGAAGTATAAATTTTTCATCAATATAGTGTTGTCGTTGTTCTCGGTATCATAACTAGATTCATGGTTGCCGGCCTGCTCCCTGAAATGGAGGTCAACGCAGGGCATTATGCGGGAGTTGTAGTCGCGGTGATAGTGGTGTGGAGATTTTTGAATCTGATGTGGTTCCGACCAAAGAAGATGGAGAAATTGCTAAGAGCTCAAGGGCTCAATGGCAGTTCATACACATTCATGTATGGAGACCTGAAAGAGATGGCTCAAATGGCCATCCAAGCGAGATCTAAACCCATCGCTCTCAAAGATGATATCGTACCTCGAGTTTTGCCCTTCGTTCATAAGTCCATCGCTACTTACGGTACGTACTTGTCAGAATTTGTGGAACTCGATTTCAATTATTCTTCAAAAGAGTCATTCACATGAAAAAAAAGGAGGTATATATGTGTGTGTATATATAGGCGAATGGAATGATTGTGTAAGAAGAGAAGTTAGGGTGAGAAGGAAATTGATTCGGTTCATCTCGGTGCACTTCATTGGGTTAGATAAGACTTGAGATCTCTTCTTAAGCTTCTCACCATTTCTCATCTCACTGAAATCCAACCGATATATATATATATATATATATATATATATATATATATATGGTTGGGTTTATGTGAGACCAACCTATTTTCGTGAGACCATATTCTTACACTTGAAACTTTACGGCAAAATATTGTGAATGTAATTTTTTTTTGAACCTTCACAAAAAAATAATGTGAAGGTTACATTCATAGTGTTTTACTGTGAAGTTTCAAGTGCAAAATGTGGTCTTACGGGCCTCACGAAAACATGTTGGTCTTATAGGATATCAACTTTGTATATATAAAGTCAAAGGTTATTTTGAGAAGTGAAACCATTTGGGAAGTAAAAGAGTTATCCTAGCCTTTCATACGGTCAAAATTGGGATTTGACTGGTCAAAAATTACGGGTATTCCAATAATAGAGAGATAATTTCGTAACTTTTACGAATACACGGCAAACATGTTCATATATGAACCTATGTGATTCACATATGAACTATATGTTCTGATGTTCATATGTGAACTCATGTAATTCACATATGAACTATTTTAACTGATTCACATATAAGCCCTTGTGATTCACATATGAATTAATTAACCGATTTACATATTAACTAATTAATTTATTCATATATGAATCTACAGGTTCATATATGAATCAGTTAAATAGTTCACATGTGAACTAATTAACGGGTTCACGTCTTATATATAGTTTATATTTGTATCACATGAGTTCATATATGAAATCGTTTGTCGTCTATTTGTAAAAATCACGAAACTACCTCTCTATCTTCCGCATACCCATACGAGGAATTTTCTATTGCTTCACGATCAAAGCCGCAAAATGTTGACCAGATGAAGGGCTAAGATCACTTATTTATTATTTAAATATTTACCACTTCCCAAAGGAACCTCTCCATGTGCGCGCGCGCACACACACACGCATATATATATATATATATATATATATATGTGTGTGTGTGTGTGTGTGTGTGTATGTATATATAAATGAGAAGACGAATAATCGTATGAGAAGAAAAGTTAAGGTATAGGAAGAGATCTGAACTCTTGATCACCTTTCATCTTAAACCCACACATTAACCGCCCTTGATACGAGGATTGATCTCGTGCATCTCGTATTAATGTGCATCCAAGTGTGAAGATTATTTCTTACGTTTCCCACATTTAACTCTCTTTCGCACCGGAACTCAACCCTATACGATAAATTGTCCAAGACATTGTTTGGCAAACATAATCTAGTTTATAAGGTAACTTTTGAGTACATGTTTGGATGAACATAAGCTGACTCATAAGTTAGCTTATTTAAAAGATAGTTGAGAGTAGCTTATGAAGAGTTTTTTTTTGCCACTTTTTCTGATTATACTCCTGATTAATATTAATTGTTATATAAATTAATTTTAATTAGTAACTAATATTAATTTCAATTTATTAGTTAATTTTAATTATTAACTAATATTAATTTTAAATTATTAATTAACTTTAATTGTAAAATATTCACCACTATTAATTATTGATAATTTAGAATTATTATTAATTTTATCAATTATTTTATATAATTATTATTCTATATATTTAGTTGTTGAAAAACAAAAATAACAATTTTGAAAATGATTTTGTCAATTACGTGGATGTTAAAAGTTACACATTTCTTTTGTTTCATAAATAGTAAAAAATAATAATAAAATTTAATAAAATATTTAATTTAATTATTATTTTTTGACAAATTATTAATTAAGTAACATATATAAGAACGATAAACTTTGTTTTTGTTTTATATATAACGGTTATTTAAAATCATTATTCAATATAAATGTTTTCTAAAATTTGTATTTGGTTATTAGTTTTTGAACGTGTCATTTTTTGTCATTTTACATTTCTCAACTAGTTTTTACCAAACGTATTTAATTCATCAGCTAGTTTGCGAAACATAATCCAAGTCTAACCTCTCCAACAAATGCTAGAGGAACAAATATAGTCCTATAGTGTTGAGATGGGCTAGACGGGTAAGAATGCGAGACGAGTATAGATTATCAAAAGTGTCAAGACTCTAGAGTGTAAGCATGGCAAAGGGGAAAGGATGGGGCGGGTTTGTAATCCCCGTCCCCGGCCTCGGTTTGAAGTAACATCCCCCGTCCTCGGTCCCCGACGGGTATGGAGATTATCATCTCGTCCTCGGTCAAACCTCTATCAATCCCCAGTCAAACCCCTATCAATCCCCAGTCAAACCCTATAAATAATATCCTTTAATTTGATTCTACTGACGATCCCCGACACCAGAACCCGTTTTAGGAGGGAATCACCGTCCCTGTTAGGGTCGGATGAACCGTATTTCCCACCGAATCGGAGCAAATCACTATCCCTACCAGAGTGTTAGAACTATAACCTATTAGTCTAACATGTGCAACTCTAATAGTGATCATGGCTCGAGAGATCATTTTATGCTTGACTGTATATTAGTATTGTATAAAAGTGTCAAATAACTAGTCCATACATATAATTAATTCTACAAAAAAATAACTAATAAACATTTTTAAAATATACGATAATTATTTAATTTTTATATAATATTTAATCATTATTTTTATGAAAAATAATTTTTTTATCATTGAAAAAAAAAACTAAAATAATTTGCATCTTTTTTAAAAAAATCTAAAATATTACAATTATAGTACAACTATGAATTGAACAAATTATATATAAAAAAACAATAACTTTATTTATACTATATTATAAAGCATTTGACAAAAACTCTTAAAAATCATTTTTTATGTATGAAGTTCTGTATATTGATGTATATTACTTAAAATTCAAGATTACAAGTAAATTGTGCATAAGTACAACCTACTAAAGCTTTATATTTGAATTCGTGTAACTAACTGCAAATAAACATAATTAAATAGAGCTAAACATTTTATTTTAAATATAAAAATCTAAAATATAATTAGGATAATTATCGAGTTCTAATAAAATACTTAATTATTATCTTTATAAAATATTTATATTATTAAATCAAAAATTTAAAAAAATGAATTACAGAAATATACGGAAAAAAAAACAAAGAAAAAATAAATAGTTTTTTTTCAATTTTTATGATGTCTTCATATTTATATATTATTCAAAATTAAAAACATTATCACTTTCTCAAAACCACATAAAATCGTATTATGACATTGACTGATACAAAAATAAATAAAACGAAACATTAAAATCAAGATGTATCTTGCTGCATTGTGCGAATACCTTCTAGTAATCTTTAACTTAGACAATAATATTGATACATTTTTTGGAGTTTTCTTTACTGGTCTTTAAATTAACAGAACATTTACAAGTAGTCTCTGTGATTAATATTTCATTCAAACATCAATTTTGAAAAATAAATCACTAATTTTTCATTTCGGTTTACAATAGAATTTTAAACATTACATTCTCTTTTATCTCCCCGATACACACCTAATATATAGGGGGCATGTTCCCTTAGAAATATAAAGTTGATTAGAAATACGAAAATCGGCTACGTCACAACATGTGATATATTTATCATAATATGAATGTGTTATTCATTATAAATGTTGTAACATTCAGTATGATTGTGTGATTCATGATAAATAACACTTCCATATTTATCATGAATGTCTTATTCATGATGAATATTCATTTTGAAGAGGACATGTGACATGTTGTTGACAGTTTCGTAATCAGGTCGTAGATTCCTAAGAAAACTTCCATATATATATATGTGTGTGTGTGTATAACGAAGGATTGTGTGAGAATATGAGTCAATGTGAGAAGTGTAAGAATTGCATTTTAGATGAAAATTGATCTGATGTATCTCATTAGTATTCATCTAGTGTTTATTTTCAATTATGATCGATCCATATGTTGAGATATTTTCTTACTTTTCTTGTTAAAACTTTCATTTTCTCTTTCTCTCTCTCTATCTATATATATATATATATAGAGAGAGAGAGAGAGAGTTGGGTCCCAGTTAAAATGGAAATTATGATGAGAAGGGTAAAAAAAGATCTTCACTCTTGAATCAATCTTATTTGAAGATCATCAGTAATGTAATTCATAAGGTGAGAATAAGATTAAAAATGATCAAATGATCATATTTCTTCTCATATTAACTCTCATTCTTATATGATTATGTGTGTGTATATAAAGATAGGATATTTAGGCTATTAAATGACGGTAATATTTAAGTCCATGAATATATTTTGTCAGTATTATTTAAGTAGATCTGATCAAGTATCCATCCTACGTCTTTGCCACTCTTACACACCTTGTTTATAAGTTTCAAGTTGTCGATTATTCATAACTTTATCAAATCAACATATAATTTAAGAGAATGTGAAATATCTGTTTTTAAAACAACTATTAGTGTACGATATTCAACGTAATTGAATGATTGGAGATTAAATATTGTTACGTTTTTTTAACTTTCAAATTGGTGCTTCTTTGATATCTTATTGTTGTGGTTTTAGAAAATCATAATCAGATTTGCCAAACATTGTAAAATTGATTATTACAGCTTTTAAATACAAATAAAACATAAGGCAAATTACAAGAACTGATTCCGAAATTATAGTTTTTTGTTTAATCGTATAGGTAAGATTTGCTTTACATGGATGGGGCGAAGACCTATGGTGCATATAACCGAACCTACCATGATAAGAGAGGTCTTGGCTAATCATTACCAATTTCGAAGGTTGAGAGGCGGAAATCCGTTAATAAAGATGCTAACGAAAGGGTTAGTAGATGTCGAAGCTGATCAATGGGTCAAACACAGAAAAATCATCAATCCTGCGTTTCATATCGAAAAGCTTAAGGTTTTCGCTTCTACGCTATTATATTTTCGTTACAATACGAAGGCTTAATTTTACACTTTCGAATTATTATATGCTTTCTTTTGTAGCATATGGTACCCATGTTTTACGTGAGTTGCAATGAGATGATAAAGAAATGGGAAAGTTTGCTAATCGAAGAAAGTTCATGTGAAGTCGATGTGTGGCCCTATCTGCAAACGATGTCCAGTGACGTGATTTCATGTACAGCGTTCGGTAGTAGTTCCGAAGAAGGGAAAAAGATTTTTGAACTTCAACACGAAATGATAGGGTTGATTATGAAGTCTGCAAGATCGACTTACATTCCAGGATCAATGTAAGTACGTTTTCAAGCAATGGGCATAATCTTGTTTTTCTAGTCATATTGAATAACGTTTTTTTAGGTTTTTGCCAACAAAACGCAACAAGAGGATGAAAGAGATAGACCAAAAGGTGAAAGCTTCGATAAGGAGTATTATCGATAGACGGGTTGTTGCAATGAAAGCAGGGGAAAGCAATCACGACGACCTTTTGGGAATTCTTTTAAATTCCAATTACAAAGAAACTAAAAAGGGCACGAATAAAACCTCTGGGTTAAGCATCGATGAAATTATTGAAGAGTGCAAGCTTTTCTATTTTACAGGACAAGAAACTACGAGAGATTTGTTAGTTTGGACCATGGTCTTATTGGGTCAGTACACGGATTGGCAAGCACGTGCTAGAGATGAAGTTTTACAAGTCTTCGGGGATAAAAAACCAAATTTTGAGAGATTAAGTGATCTGAAAGTCGTGGGTTTTTCTTCTTCTTCCGTATTTTACGATAATATCTGGTTATTAGATCATAGTGAACGATGTTTATTACTATCTGTTGTTTGTGGCAGGTTAACATGATTTTCAACGAAGTTCTTCGGCTATTTCCGCCAGGACCCTACTTAGGACGAGTAGTGCATAAAGAAACCAAATTAGGAAACATAATGTTACCGGCCGGTACGTTTCTTCAAATGAATATAATCCTCTTACATCATGATCGTGATATATGGGGTGACGACGCGAAGGAGTTCAATCCTGAGAGATTTTCCGAAGGTGTGTTAAAGGTGACGAAAGGACAAGCATGTTACCTCCCGTTTGGTGGTGGCCCACGTATATGTATCGGACAAAATTTTGCTATGCTAGAAGCAAAAATGGCCCTCGTTATGATTCTACAACGTTTCTGTTTTGAGATCTCCCCGTCATACTCACATGCGCCACATGTTGTCATCACGCTTCAACCTCAGTTTGGTGCTCAATTGATTTTACGGAGACTTTAAATGTTTTATACGTATGTATGGTGGGACTTGTTTCAATCATATGATGCTACAAATCGTGTTATATAAATAAATAATGTTTTAGAATCGACGTTTTATGAATTTGACAAAAAATATATCTGATAATTACTTGTACTTCTTATAGACCAATAAAGCATAGACCAAAGTGATGGAAACAATCAAGACCGACAAAAGCTGGTTTGGATAGACTAACCGAAATGGACAGGAATATATTGTAATTGATGTTAAATTATTATTTTTTTTTAAAATCGATTCTTGGTCCAGTTTAGGATTGAATCCAAACTAGTTCGTTAGAACTTGAAACGACGGCATTTTCAGTTAAAATTTTTATATTTAAAAAGGAAAAATACATCAATACGTGACAAGTATATTTCAAATCTATCAGTGTAACGATGATTTTTTTTTTCCAATCAGTGCAATAAAATTTCAAATTTTCCTATTTTGATATAAAGATAAGGGCAAATTGCATGAAAAAGTAACGTACTTTAACGTGATTCCTATTTTAAGAAACGTACTTTCAAAACTTCCATTTTAGTATCTAAAATGTAAGGTTTTAAATATTTTAAGTATTCGGGTAACCGTTTGAAGCATTAATCAGTTACCATGCTGATATAGCGAGTGATGTGGTATCCAACTCAGTATTATTTACTGAAGCATTAACAAGATACCACACCCCTCTTCAATATTAAAACCTCTCTGAAGTCTTTTTGTTTTATTGTTGACCGCTTTAATACTATAAATTTAGCTTTTTTTTTTAATCGATTACGGTTGAGTGCTTTTATTTTTGAGGAATAAAAATTAATTTCTACATCATCGACATTTAACTCGAATAAAAGCATTCTTTCCCAAAGCTTTATATCCTTATTAAATAAATTTTCCTTTTTAACCTTAAAAAAAGAAATTGATAATACTATTTTCCAAATTTATTATTATATTTTATAAAACTTAAAACAATATTTATTACGTTTTATTTTGATATATTTTATAATTAATCTAAAAAACATGTGACATAAGTTTACTGTGTTTAAAAATATCTTTAACAGTTACGTTAAAATAGAGAAAAGAAGGGATTTTAACAATTTTTTTGTTCCAACAATTATGTTATATTTGTATGCTAAAATAGAGAAAACAAAAGAGATTGTAAAAATCTCCAAATTTAGAGAAATTTCTAAAAGACAAACAGTATGAAAAGGTAACATATTTTACATTGATTTTTATTTTGGGTAACGTATTTTTAAAACCTTTGTTTTCGTACATAAGATGTGAAATTCCAAGCATTTAAATACATGGATAACTGGTTTAAGCATTAACCGGTAACCGGTGCTAATATGACATTCAATTCAATATTATTAGCTGACGTGACTAGTCATAATTTTTTTTAATTTAAAATTAATTTTAAATTCATTCATTTTAGAGTAAATTATAGATTTGGTCCCTAAAATATGTCAATTTTTATGGATTTGGTCCTTTATCTTTATTTATTAAAAAACCCTCCACATATATAATTTTTTTTTTATGGATTTGATCCCTCTAACCAAAGTCTTTCTATCATTTTCTTTATTTTTCTGTTTACTTTTTTGTGTTGTCTGCATATATGGGTAGATATGTTGTATATGTGAATATATATATATGATGTATGTATATATATATGTAATTGTTTGTGTGTATATGATAATAAAATAGATGAGAGAGAAAGAGGTAGGGTTAGGGTGAGATCACATTCTTGGTCCCTGTAGTTTAACCGAAAACCAACAAAATATAAAAATATTAAAATACCTTTAAAGTTAACTTATTTAACAGATCTTTTTAACGGTATTAAGATGGAAGGACTAAAGACGTATGAAAATGTAAACCATAGACACGTTTTTTATAATTATTTTAATTTTTAGGGACCGACAGTGTGATTTTGTATAATCATAAGGATCAATCATGTAAATTACTCTTAAAACAAAGTTGTCTTCGATGATAAATTAATCCGACCCGTTTCCCTTCGCCACCCTTGGAAGTTACCATCGGCAGCTCGTGCTGCACAAATCGAAGTGAAACGGTGATTCAACGCCCCCTTTCGCTTCGCGAAAACCTCATTCCTTAAATACACAGGTACGTATATGCTTCGATATGTTCAATTGCTACAGCCATTAATCCAAATCTGACCACGATTACTGTTTTTATAAGGGTTTTAGTTTAATATATTGATACCACCACTCAATTACAGGTATGTATAACAAGGGTGTTAACAAATGGCAAAAGCCATTGACTAAATTGCGGACCATTCAGTTGCCCTTACTGATTACTATTATTGCTCTAATGTTTGTAATCGTGATTCTTGGAATCGATAGAAAGAAACCCACTTCTCAATTCACGGTAGTAAATCAAATAAAGAATAATTTAGATGAATCCATGGTTCAGTTTAACCCAACAGTTGATTTCTTGAATGGGACTGATATAATCTGGCAAATACCCAATTCTCCAAAATCTGTCCTCTTTTTGGCTCATGGGTGTAGCGGTAGGGCTGCTAATTTCTGGGATAAATCTCCAAATTGTGCCCATTGTATTGGTTTGCCTGAGGAAAGACTTATTGTTCTTAAAGCTCTTGCTAGAAAGTTTGCTGTTATTACAGTTTCAAGTAGAGGCAAATGCTGGTCATTAGGAAAGGAAACATTGGTTGTGGAAGGAATTATTAAATGGTGGGTTGAGAAAGAAAATCTTGAAAAACTGCCTCTTGTAGCTTTAGGGGCTTCATCGGGTGGTTATTTTGTTTCAATGCTTGCAAGTAAGATGAAATTTAGTAGTATTGCGCTTATGATTGCCGAAGGTGTTTTTGATCGGATTGACGATACAAAAAACTACCCACCTACGATTTTTGTCCACATGCCAAAAGATAAACTTAGAAAGAAGGCAATTGATGTAAATCTTGAAGTTTTGAGGAGTGAAGGGATAGATGTTGCTGCAGTTGAGTGCATGGAGTTGCCATTATCGCCAAATTTTCTTGCAGATAGAATCCCAGGTCTTGATTTGAAGATTTCTGTAGAGTTGTTTAATCTGTTTAAGGAGAGGGAATTTGTTAATGAAGAAGGTTACTTGGTAAACGATGGGCGGGTGATACCTTGGAAGGCAGCCATGAATGAGAAGAAGATACAATTACCTGATAAGCTTTTAGTCAAATATATTCACGAAGAACTGAATCTTGCATTTGCATATCATGAAATGACTAGCTTGCAGTCTGATCAAATATTCGATTGGTTTGAATCTCATTTCAGATGATTATAATAAAATCTTGAGGAGTGTTGTATAGACTGCAAACTGCAAAGCTCCAAGTGTTCTTGCTATTCATAGCTGTTTGTAGGGAGTTATGTAAATTTGATGATTGTGGGGTTAGTCTTTAGTATGTTATATGAATAAATGTTGTGTTATTCTTAGCAGGGTGCATGACCTATATTTACACTTGATAGTTCTTTGAAAGAAATTATAAGAGAAGTGTGAATTTCTATCCTATCGCATCATTGTGTGCATGATTTTCAAATATGTGGAACTCCATAAGATTACTCTCTAAAAAAGCCCCTGAGGAGAGAAGGGGGTTTCAACATACATTGGGGAGAAACCGATGTGGGAGTCAACCACGCCTCCTCCAATGGAGGCCAGGCGGGGACATATTGGCTCTAATATCATATGAGAACAGGGTGAACAAATTTGTTGATGGTAAAATTTTGGCATATACTTCCATTATTCAGATTGATCACTTTCTATTATGTTTTTCTCTTTTTCGATAGTCTATTTCATAATATAATTGCATAGCTCTTCTTTTGTTTAAGGGGCTGTTTGGTTGTGGCTTAATGGGCTGTATAGCCTATATGGCTTATTCGCTCAGCCATAAGTAGCCGTTTGGTTGTGGTTTATTCAGTCAGCTGATGACTTAATCGCTCAGCTGAAAATTCTTACTCCTTTACACTTAGCCATTTAATTTCCCACTAATTCCCCAACTACCCTTGGATAAAGAAATTTCAGTTTCGACACTCTTCCAAGTTCAACATCAGTTCACCCTATGATACCCATTTCTCCACCAAGTTCAGCATCAGTTCAGCTTCTTCCTGTAATACCGATTTCTTCCTGTGGTTTTCGAACCCTATTAGTTGTGATCCGATTTCTTGCTGTGATACCGATTTCTTCCTGCGTTTAATTCTGGAAATGGTTTTGATGAGATGGAAGGATTCCAAGAGATTGAGGATTGATAAGTGGAGAAGTATTCTGAAGAAGATTGAAATGGTGATTTTGGAATTTTGTGGTTTTTTCTTCCCATGGGTTTTCCCTATATTTTTCGATTTTTCTCTGTATTTTAACGATTTCTAGCTGTCGTTTACAATTTCTACATGGTTTTTTGGTTTTTTCATGTCCTGATCAGGTGTGTTTTCGATTTCTAGCTATGGTTTACGATTGCTAGACTGGGGATAAAATGATCATTTTTGATATTTAGATTGCTTATTCAGCACAACAAACGAACAACAACTTATCTGTTATGCTTTATCAATATAGACATCTTTATCCATACAAGGCTTAAGGCCTGTTTGTAATGCTCTGAATGATGCCACTCGAAGCAATCTCTTAATCGCTCAAAGCCATTTGTATTGTTTGGCAATTTTCTGAAAGCCCCTGAATCATTCCAAGATCCTCTTAATCGCTCCGCGTATAGTTTGAAAGCGTATCATTCAGAGCAAGCTACTTTCCAAGGTTACCCCTATGTAGATGCAATCGGTTTCTTTTGTCTTTTCTTTCTCGTCTCAATGAGATCACAGGTATGTTATTCCTTACTTAAATTCGTTCCCCAAACCCTAAACCTCCCTTCCAATCTACAAGGTGATTGGGTATTAGATGATTTGGGTTTCCTACGTACTCAAAAGGAGATGCTAAATACTTGTGTTTGACTGCACATTCTTTTGCTGAAACTTGGGCTTTGAAGAAGATGATTTGAGTTCTATACAAATTGATCCTTTTCAAACAGAAGCTATGGTTTCTGAAGTTATCATCTCGAGATTGATGGAATGGGATATTGGTCGGAAGTTGTTTTCAATGATCTGTGCTAGTTACCAAATGCACGACAACCTGGTCTGTAAAATTAGAGAACTGTTATCGGTTTCTTTTATGTAATGATCAATTATTCGGAGTAACATGTGCAGCAAATCTCATCAAGGTTATGGTTGACGATTGTTTGGAAGCCGTAAGTTTAACAATCTGCAAGATTCGGGAAAGCATCAGGTACGTTCGAATATCACAAGCGACTCACGAACAGAATCCTCTATTTCATTTTACATTAGGCTTATGTATTCTATACTCCTGTGATAGCATCCATGTTTAGGGACTGCAAAATGTTAAACAAGCAGTGACCATGATTTTTCTTCTCATTCTAGTGGAGTTGTTGTCATAAAACTACTTAAAATCCATATTATCCCTAAACAAGCACAATACAAATCAAGTCAATCCCATATATATCAGTAACTAAAGCATAAAGCTATTACATAAGTGAAATTAAGCCAATCTATCTTATTTGCATGACTCCGGGCTACCAGCAAAAGTAGGTGGTCGTCTTGGGATTAGTCGGCTTGCATAGCGGGTTGGATATCCAGGTTAATAAAAAAAAAGTAAACCATGATAAAATAAAATCAAAGTGATGTAATTTATAAGCAACCAAGTAAATACATTCATAGAATAAGATTTGCACCCACAACACCATCATCAGTCATCGATTTTCTTGTTCACGACATGCGAATCTTTCAAGTATAATTGTATTTTTTTTGGTTTGGTTAACGGCCAACTTATTTATGCGCACCTGATTAATTCCAGGGTTTGAAGAACAATCAGGAAAAATTCCCAATGATACGTTAATTGTGCTGAAAAAACTATAGTTTCATACCTTATCGACCCACCATAATAGTGATGGTCAGGTTATTTACGGAACATTCTTCCGCTTTGCTTTGGCATGAGGTTGAGTTTGTCCCCACTTTACCGATGACGAATGATGGTTTGTTTGGAGTGGGTAATATGGTGTTCTTGAGAAGTATGGAGATTATATATCATCGAAGTTTTTGATGAAGGTGGTTTTGGGAAGGTTTATAAAGGTTGGCTAAAAGATAAGTCGAATTCAAACATGATGTAATTACTGTCAAAGATATTGAATTCTGAGAGCATGCAAGGACTTGAAGAATGATGTATAAGCCTTCTGGTCTAACTTGTGTTTCGTCAACATGAGTTATATTTCAAGGCTCTAATAATCGTGAATTTCTAGATTCGTTCGAACACGCTGAAGTAGATACTTCTAAAGATAGATGAAAGACTTGCTAAAAGATCCTTAGGAATATGATTCGAGCAACGTGTGTTATGAACGGTGTCTTTTCAGGGACCTTTTCATTTGTGTTCTTGGAATTTTACCTGAAATATGATTTGAAAAACGTAATTGTGAAGGCCAACAACTTAACAAGAATGCCTTGATCGTTAAGGTCTATGAATTTCACAACAACATTAGGCAAATTAGTCATCATAGCTTGCTAAGCTACAATGACTAGTTTTTCCAATGTTTTGAAATTCAAGAACCTAACGACGAAGGCACCCTTGCCAAGTTGCTGTCTTTCGCAGTTACGTTTTTCAGATCATATTTCAAGTAAAATTCCAAGACCACAAATGAAAAGGTCTTTGAAAAAGCCACCATTCATGACAACCATTTCCCGAATCATATTTCTAGTGGATTTTCTAGGAAGGCTTTCAATCTTTCTCTAGAAGTATCCACTACAGCATGCTCGAATGAATCAGGAAATTGGGGATTGTTAGAGATCAAAAATATAGTTCATGATGATGAAGCACAAGTTAGAGTAGACGGCTTACCTTCCATTCTTCCAATCGTTCCATGCTCTCATAATTCAATTTCTTGACGGTAATTATATCAATGTTTTGAATTGGACTTGTCTTCGAGCCAACCTTTATAAACCTTCCCAAAGCCACCTTCACTTAAACCTTTGATGAGATATAATCTCCATGTTTCTTAACAACACCATATTATTATCACTCCAAACAGACCAACATTCATCATCGGTAGAATGGAGACAAATTCAGCTTCAAGTGAAAGCAAACTGAAAGAATGCTTTGTAAACAATATGACCATCATTGTTAATGTTATGATGGGTCGATAAGGTACGAAAATATCTGCTACGAGGAGAGCCATTGAGAGAAAACGATGAAGATTATAATGCTTACATGGTGTGTGTGTGTGTGTAGTATGTGAGATAATGATACACGCTGAGCTCTTGAAAATTTATCTAGGAGCCATTTCTATTTTAATGAAGAAGCCAAAGAGTTGGAGAATACGAATCAAATTACTAATTTGGTGAAAGAACTAATCAGACCAAATTGCAAGGTTCACGTGAAGCTTCAGGAAACCCAGCAAAAAAAAAGGCACTTATGATGCGTTTTGAATGGATTTCATCTCTATTTTGAAAAGTTGCTCTTTATTGAGCTGGTTTTTTAATGCATTTTTTAACGAATTGGGTTCTTGTGCCTGTATTTTTTTAACAAGCTGGGTTTTTAATACAAACATAGGGAACCAGTTCGTTAATTTATTCAGGAACTCAACTTGTTAAAAAATTTATGAGGTCAAAATATTAAATTTTATAAATATGAAAATACGAGGTTTTTGCAACTTTATGGGGTCATATAACCTCAAGTCTAAATCCGGTCTGGCCACACAGGGAGGTACTAGTGAAAAATGTGATCATAAAGACACGTTCGGTTGATTTTTCAAAAATACAAAGAGGTCCATAGTGCCCACAAAGAAAAAACGAGAGCTTGTTAAAAAAAATGTAACACGGAAAAAACTAGAGGTCCATGGTACCCTCGTCACCGAGGAGGGACTAAAGTTCCCATGAAGATGAATACGTAATCTAAAATATGAATTTTCCATAAATCAAGTGTCTTTAACCAGCTTTTTACTTCTTTATCGTTTCTCTTTTTTGTCATACTTTTGCCTTATTTGGAGTCTTCACAAAAACACTCTGTTTTTAGTTTTAGGACATAAGTCAAGTCTACATATATCTTACCTAGATTGGGTTCACGAGAAACCAATATGTTTTTGTGAGATCCATGAAACCATTTTTTTACACTTGAAACTTCACAGCAAAACATTGTGAAGGTAAAAAAACGAACTTTCACAACAAAAATACTGCGAAGGTTACCTTCACAGCATTTTGCTGTGAAGTTTCAAGTGTAAAAAAATGGTCTCACGCGTTTCACAAAAATAAGCTGGTCTCACATGATTCCAAGTTTATCTTACTTTTCAAAACTCCACCTATATAGATGATTCATTTGAGTACAACTTTCCTTCATGGAGAAAAGTGTGTGGTATGATGCATTTTCTTTAAATAGTATTGATTACCAAAAATATAACCATTTCTAAACATATGGACTAATAATTAAAGAAGGGAGGATAGAAAGTAACATGCAATGGAATCCATCTCAATAGATAACTACTATAAATGGTAACCTGATGCTCATCCAACAACAATTTTTCCAAAATAATTTTTAGACTAAACTACAAATTTGGTCCCTGTGATTTTTTGATAATAACACTTTCCGTCCTTGTAGTTTTGAAATTAAAAAATGACTATCGTGGTTTGTAAAAACATTCGAATTTGATCTCTTATTCTAATGGCCGTTAAAACATTCCGTGAAAATATATACATTTTCGTCATTTTATCATTTTTTTGCTTTTTACCTAGTCAAAATTGATTTTATGATTTTGATGATGGTTTTTGATTGGATAAAAAGACAAAAAAAATGGATACAAGAATGAAAATGCTTCTCATTTAACATAATTTTTTAATGTTCATTAGAAGAAAGTGATCAAACTCGAACGTTTTTTACAAACCATAACGGTCATGTTGTAATTTTAAAACTACAGGGAAAAAAGTGTTATTTTTGACAAACAATGGGGATCAAATTTGTAGCTTACTCTAATTTAATTTCCCACCTTAATAGTTAATTGTATTTTCATTTTAATTTTTAAAAATGTTGTCAGTTGGTTAATTTTTTTTTTTTAATATTTACAGTGTTCAAGTCTTTTTATCATAAAAAGATATTCAGAAAAATGATAAATCTAAAATTAATGCTAAAAACTAAGAAAATGATACAAACAAGATGTGAATTGAATGGACACCTAAGATGAGAAAAGTCATGCAAACCAACTCTACAAAGAAAATTTGTATTATTCCTGTAGTTTCAACTTTCAAAATATATCGAGTTGCACACAACAAAATGATACGATCACACACTTCACTACCTTAATTTTTCTAACCACGACAGAAAAACGGAGTGATGCCTGTGCCACCGTACCACTAGTGTGGGTCCACCCCTGCACTCAGCACATCATTTTTGTTACCAAACTATTTATATTTATTTGTAGAGTGAAAACCGTTAATATGGTTCAAACACGTGAAAATTAATTTTTAAACCATTCAATAAGTTTGACTTTAAGTTATAGTTCATATTATTTCACGTGTTTGTTTTTTATGTGTATTTGTGCTTGTATATCATATACAAAATGCATTTTCATATTTTTTTTCACACACAAAACAATTCTAAATGTTTATGTATATAAACTAACACTATAAGGAATATTCCACTTAAACATGAAAATTAGTTTGCAACTTTATAACATATTTACGGTTTTTATTTGATTTATTTTCCAACAATTACTACAATAAAATTGTGTTATTCCCACCGTGTCGAGGTTTCGAGTCCGCTACGAATTGGCCAGTCAGCCTAGTTGAAATCAACCAAATACGGTTGGTTTATGTGGATTTAGTCCGGTGGTCAAGGAGATGGACATCATTACAGAATGAACCAGATGATTCCAATCATCAGCGAGGTTGGTGCATTGCAAGAATTACACAAGCAAAGCATATTGTTTCATTTACCAAATAATAACGTTAACAAAAAGAAATCATGGGCGATTTGTGCCACATAAAAACGATATCGTTTTCTACTACATTAATTCCTTAAACAGGTGGTAACTCTTTCACGCAATCCGAAGCATCGGAAAGGAGTCTCTCGTTAGCCGGCTTTAATCCCTTCTTCAACCACCGATTTACAAGAGCCAATTCGATTTTTCGCACCTATAAACAATCGGGCACGTCAATTTTGCAGCTATAGACAAAAGAATTACCAATCCAAGGCATATGAAATGAATTCCGAATGATTAATAAGCCTCATATGATCTCATTACAATTTGAAAAGATGATAAAGCTTCAAAACCAAGCCAACCCAGTAAATCTCACACGGAATAGGCTCTAGGAAGTAGGTAAGTAAAATGTAGACAGACATTTCTTTCTACCCCAACGGGTAGAGATGCTGTTCACACCTACAGCTTCATTAAATGTAAATTTCGTGTAAAATGTAGACTAAAGGGTTGTTTGTTTACCTCTTACTAGTTCCATTAAGAGACAGTCTTTGAATCGTTAAGAGATGAATCTTGTTTGGCAGAAAAAAAAAAAAAGGTCTGTTTCTTAATGATTCTAATACCATCTGAATGATTTTGTATCCTAGGCCTCTCTTAACCATTCAGCGCCCTAATTTCATCGTAAACAATTACCAAACAATTATATTTCATTTTGCACTATATCATGAGAGCCTCTTAATCATTCTGCACCAAATCATTCAGCAACTGCGAACCAGCCTCTAACACATAGTGTTCACACCTACAGCTTCATTTATGATTTTTGGGTCATTTCGGGTGCTGGAGGGGCAAGTTTTAGAAGAAGATACAAAGGAGGGATAGCATCTTTTGATATGATTTAAAAAAACAAGGGCATGTGGCATTAGCAGACAAGCTTCTGGCCTTTCTACACAACCATACACTTGCAGTATAAATTACCAAAAGAAGAAACGTTAAGACGGAGATGTTTTTAACTCAAGCCCGAACTTGGTGGTTAAACTCTACTGCGGTGACGATACTGTAAGGGAGGTCCTGCGGAAAAATACCGACATACCATGGTCAACCATTTCGTTGTACATATTTGTATGATTATTAGAGAAGGAATTGGTTTTCCTTTTTTAACTATAGTCCTCAGCTTAAGTACACAATTTACAGAGTAACGGCTATCGTGGTTTACATATATATCACCACCACAAGCATCTTCATAGACTTGTAGGTATAACAAGGATCGTTGTTTTTATCTCTGCAAATTGTTTAAGTAAATGTATTAGCTAGTTTTTTTGGTAACCGCAGGTGTCCAGATCAGCTTGGGTGCGCCTCAACTAATCCCATGGGGCCCTAAAGATAATGGGCAGGAAAATTGGCCCTAAAGAGACTCGAACTGGCGACCTATGGATCAGCTGTTTGGGAGAGGTGCAAATTGATTGTTTAGCTCAGCTTTTAATTTTGAGTTCTGGTACAGGGATTAGGCTTCATAAGGTAAAAGGGTTGAGAGGAAGAAGAGCTTCCAGGGTGTATGCGAATCCTAGAGGAAAGGAGGTGAGTGTTCATAACTTCGTATATCAAAGTTTACTTTTATGAATTAACAGCAAACAGATTGATTCACCATTACCATCAGCCATGTGGGACACAACAACTTTAAGAACGGTTCAGTTAAGAAAAAAGCACATGATACATGATCAATTGTGAAAGATGGGGAAGAAACGGTAAACCCACCAAGTACAAGAATGTCACTTGGCCATCAATTGGGCACCCGACAAAGCCAAACCAAACGAACCCTGTATATACCATGCAAAGGTAAGGGTCTCAGGGGTAGGATGTATGCAGCTTTTTCCCGTGAAGACCCCCGAATTTGCAAGACAAAAACCAAAGGAAAAAACAAGAGAGCAAACTACAAGTGAGAGTGTGTGCAAACAAGCAACAGGTGCAGAGTTAGTTTGAGCACAGTTACTACTTGTACTCTTGGGGATCGAGCATTATATATAGTTAGTTTGAGCATTATGGTTCCATTTTTTATCCATCTAGGCTCATGGGCTATTTCATAAATGGGGATGCTCCTCCCTTAATGAGATTTATGACGTTTAACCCTATTCACACAAAGAAGTTTCCTAACTTAATGCAGCAAACTATGATCACTCAAAAGAACCCCAATACGATCTATGGAGAATCACCACAAACAACAGCTATAGAGATATCTAACAGTGTTTTAATGGGCCCAAACTTAACCTCCAAAACGAGAATTTAACGTGGATGAAGAAGCCCATTTAACTGCAGTGACCAACTTTAGATCAATAGGGAATTTGTGACAGAACTGCCATCACCGAGGCAATTTTCAATGGGACAGCTTTCTCCTCTCATTGTGTATTTTCTTTCTTTTTTCATCGAACAGCTTCTACTTTCTCATTAAACAGCTTGCTCTTCTTTTCTTCTTTCTCCTTGAATAGCTTTTTTACTTTCTTCAAATTTTCTATTTGTTCTTTCTTCATTATCATTTACTTTTTACCGGCTTACAACAGTAATCAGCTAAACCAATTATACAATTAATCAACTATTATTGTTGATCTATTTGTTTAGCACAATTCCTGCCACTAGAACCAAGTCAACGGACTATAGTATTTAGTTTTTACTAATATGTATTTATTTATTTATTCATTACTTAATTTTATTATATTCACTAATTTGAGTTTGATTTTGAAAATCAAATCGTTTATTTATCTTCTAACCTGATTCAAAAGAAACAGCATAGCAGTAAGCAATTCAGCATACATGTAGTAATTTATACATGACACACAAAGTTACTGATGCAATCATGTTTCATATTTTGACTTATAAGATGTGTATTATCTATGTGAAGACTTAATTTTTTAAGTATGGACCTGTCTAATGGTATTCAATTTTCACAACAGAATTTTAATTTGGCGTTGAAATGATATTATAAATTTCAACGTAAAGAGATATAGACAATGAAACAACACATGGTGAACAATAATCATAGAGGGAGCCATGTTGCCAAGGCATCCTGGCGGTTGGCTATAGTCATGATTCACCATGACAACTATGTTCTTAATGAAATAAAATCACGTCAATACAATATCAAAAGGATGTTCAAAATCCATATGCAAGAAATGACCCACATAATACAGGTCCTTACTTAAGGATGCATCTGGTACCCTGACAAGACATGACAGAACAGGACAAGGTAGACAGTTGTTCAGAGTTTGGTAAGACAGGACATGATTGATAAAATGACCAAGTTACCCCTAATGAGTTGTTTATATTTTTTCTATATTTTGATTATTCTATGTAATTTATTAAATTGTAATAAAATAAATATTTTATAACAAATATATCATTCTAAGGTTTTAGTCTAGACGATTAAAACGAGTTAATGACACCAAACATGAAGTTCACTAATTTCCAATTTTTATTTTATACCTTTCTATATCTTTTTTATTCTTAATATTTAATAAATTACATAAATTAACCAAAATATAGAAAGTGTATAAAAATAATATTTTGAGGACAGTAAAGTAATGGAAAACAGACCTGCTTAACAATGAAAGGCTCCTCTGCAAGACTCAATGGTGCAGTTAATATAGTAAGAAAGCCATTTCTGTTTCCGTACACGATGTCTGTAAACGGACGATCACCCACCTGAAACAAGCAGTATTGTTTTACTGTTTTATTCAAATCCAATACACGCTATATCGTAACTTTTCAAGATGTTTACTTAGTACCATTATGAGTTTTGACGAATCACATCCAAAGTGTCTTTCAATTTCTTCAGCTGAACCAGCTGGCTTCTTCACCTCTAGGATAAACAAACAAAAGCACAAAGGCCACGCAAAATAAATTATACCAAGACAAGATACTACTACAATGATAAGTGCTATAAGTAGCACATACATCGAAAAAACATAAGACCTAAAAACTAAGAATGGAGTCTTATGTGTTGATGTTTCTATCAATCAACACATGCAGACCCTAGTGAATAAGAACCCAAAGATTATGATGCCAATAACCCAAAGAAGTAGACRGTACAATCTGATATGGAATAWATCAAACAAGGCCTATCCTAGCCCCTCATACTTTAAGTAGCTGATGACACCAGCAGTTGACTGAAATTGCTCCAACTCCTTGTCAATCTAGCCGAAGTAGCAAGCCCAATTACATCCTGTCGAAGGCCATCTATATTCGAATAAGACCTAAAAAGCCCTAATGTTGCTTAAACTCTTAAAAAAGGACTCCGATTGACTATGGCTACAGGGTAAGGGATCCTAGTCTTACCCAAACTGTGGATCTATCAGCCAGAACTAACACAAACATGTTACTCATCCACACAATTCATTTTATACGCTTCAAATATTTACACACTTACTCTAGATTTCCCTTCTCCACAGTACTAATTTGATTGTTACAGCTCATGACCCTCTCTGGGTCGAGTTCAGGTAGTGCTTTCATATTCCAGCCATCAATCTCCATTAGATTTAACAGCCATTCATTGAAGGTGCCTTGAAGATTTCACTGACATAATAAGCATRATGAAATAAGTTGAATCTGATTCATTGCTCAGAAGACCATGGTTAATGAAGATCAGAAAATGCTCTCAACAACGTGCAGAAGAAAGCATGTGGTAAGATCACACAATTGTGAAGGACAGATTGAGATCCAAATAAGTTCACTTTAGGTTGGAACAATGTGAGACARTGAAAGTTACATTACATCAGGTTAGAATTGATACAYTCATACAAAGCATAACAGAGGTCACCACTACCCTTTTGGGTGGTCCGGTTGTTAGGGGACCCAGTCGAACAACTTCTGAACTTCGTATCCATCTAATTGTCCAAGCAGATCAGAAAAGATCTAGTAACCTTCGCATCAGCTACAAAAGCTATGGTGAATTCACYAAAGGGCCTTTGGCCTAGCGGTATCGTAGTCTTTGGCCTCCTAAGAGGTTAGGGGTTCAAATCTCACCAAAGGTGAGGAGAGTGTGTGAGTTTATTTGTTGCATTTGTCGTATATAAATATTATATACTTCAGGAAAAAAAAACCTACGATGAACTCTGACAAAAGGCCATAATAGAATTTGGAAGGTATGAGGTGACGATAAGACAGCCGAGGTATGTAGCAGGCTCTTACTACACTATGATGTCTGCTGATAAGCTGATAACCAGCTGTTTTCCAAGTCAACCTAAAGATCTAACTTCTAAGTCATCAAACAGATTAAGTTTTAGCAAAGGTCATATTTGTACTGTTATTGAGATTGACATACATGGRTCTGGGATCCTAATAGGCTAAGACTGTCTTAAACTCCGATGTAACCTAATACTAAGTTTGTATTAGTGRTCCCACTACATAATAAACCTATTTCCTAACACAACCAATTGCCAAGAACAATTATCAAATTGAGAATATAAAGAACATAACCATTTATTTGCCGTACACCATCTAAATGAAACTTCACTTTTCTAAACCAGATTGCTTCTACATTTAGATGTTAGTTTACTAAAGTACCATATGCAGACTCGAAGGATGCTACTTCAGAAAAATCAACGAATCCCAGAGTATATATTTATCAATTCTTTAAGATATGTATCTCATTCTCTGAGGTAAAGGTCCTCTTCAACCATGCCACCTACTTTGATTCTAGTCTATAAAACCAATTTCCTGTTGATAACCTTTAGGCATGTATCATCAAGGTTTTGACCAGAAAGTTCGTCAGGTCCCACTTTTGTTGCAACATTTTCCATCAATTACCATTACCTATCAAAGGGAATTGTTGACAGGCAATTCCCTTTATCTCAGGGAATTGGTGAATCTTACCTGGTTAGCGCTTACTAGGTAAGAGATACTTATATGCATACTATATCCAAATTTGATTCATTTCTGCATTCAATTGGAAAGAATATCTTTGTGTTGATCCAATATAAGCAACTGTAGAAAACTGATATGATAACATCTAATACATAAAGGATCTGTTTACAAACCCTACCATTAAGGCATTTTGTTGCGCTTAAAGGTGGACACTTATTTGGGTGTTAAGACTTCTATTTTCTGTGTCATTGCCAGATCAGCATCAACTCAGGCACTCACTCCAGTTATTCCTGTGCCTACAGTTTTGGCACAGCCCTGATATGCAGTGCACCTATTTCCTCCGGAATATCAGCACTGTCTTTGGAGAACCTTCACTAATATCCCATATATTGCCCATTCATATTTTCCATTTGATGAAACATATATCAATTAGTTTGTGAGGCTCTCCAAGAATGTCGTACAATCTCTTTCAGAAGATTATTGGTCATGATATAGGTATTCGTCTTGAAAGCTATAATGTTTTTAGTATAAATATTTAGCTTTTCTTGTTGATTTTGTAGAAGTGACAAAAGGCTGGATGCATGTGGTATTGATCAAATTATGACAACTGATATGAATAAGATGTAAATTTTCTTACAAATGAACATAACCTTAGTGACTTACTATGTCTAATTACTCGAATTCCAATTACATACTCAAGTGCTCTAGCTTTCCTGCCATCAGGGTCATACTCCTGAAGTCCTGATCCCCCAAAAAGATATGGTAAACACATCAGACACAATACAAAAAGAACATAAATAAAACATATATCGGCTTGAAATAATTGGATTACCAGCAGAGTTGCTGAAAACCGCAATGTTGTTCCCAAAAACAGATTTGCAAGAGTCTACAGACGCTGAAAGAGGCCCCCATAAAGCCAATGAGTAAGGAACAGTAAGAGTATTGTCCTTGTCAAAGACAACACCTTCAAACCCTTTTCTCTTTAAGGCAGCCCAATCAATGTACCTTATATCAGGAACTGATACATGAGGCATCACCCAGTTCTTGTGTCTAGTAATCACCGAAACTGAAAAAAGCAATCCCTCCACGTTAATCCTCTGCCCTAATGCCGCTTTTATGTCTGCCCACCACATGTTTGCGAAATTGACAGTACTCAATCCACCCCTGTCTCTATCTAAACTTTCTTTGATTTCGTCTCCGATAATCTGTCTTCTATCGTTCTTCCCCCGTCTGTCGTTCAAGTAGATAGGAGAAGACTCGTAAAATCGATTAAAGAAGGCACTATCGTCATCGTCGTCATCATGGTGGGAATTTCGATGATTTTCCTTGTTGTGTTGCTCGTTGTCTCGGCTGTCTACGGCAGATAGAGTGTAAACGATGGCAGTGGTGAAATGGGATGCGGGAATTCTCTTGTGGGAAGGACGAAGACGAAGGTGGAGGTGATGATGAAGATCTGAATGAAGAATCTTGATGGGGTTTGTAAGGAAACAAGAATGGGAGATGGGGTGTGGAGGAGCAAATGTATAGAGCATTTCTAAGGTTTTATGAGCCCCAATAGGAGGGGTGTATCCTGCTACCATGGAAACCCCATTTTTCTAATGTAAAACCTGACATTGTGGAACCTCGTGGGTTCTTGTTTCCCACTGAGGAGTGAGGACCGACCTTATCGACGTTTCTGGCCACTAGTTTACGGACCCTGGCTCAAATCTCTTTTTCTTTCTTCGTGATTTGAATTTTTATAGAGTTAATTACGATTTTAGTCCATGTGGTTTGTTGAATATTGTCATGTTTTAAAATTACAGTTTTTGTCCCTGTAATTTGTATTTGTTGCCAGTTTGATCCTTAAAACTAACTACGTTAAAAATCATTTATCCAGATAAGCGCTTACCAAGTAACATTATCTCACCGGATGAATATAGTAAGAACCAAAAATCTTATCCGGTAAGAGCGAGACAATAACCAAAAGTCTTACCCGGTAAGTAAGGACGACGACTCTTACCACGGTAAGCGCTTACCATGTAAATTGTTGTATATAATGTCGTTTTGGTAGACTAAAATCTTACCCGATAATTACATAATAGTGTTAGTGATGGCTTTTAAGAGAGTGGTCAAATATTTAAACCATAGCTAGTGGATTAGATTCATTTGAACTCAATCTAACTCGATGCACCTGATGTCAGTGTTCCCTTTGATATTCATAGTTTTCATAGCAACCGATTAGTTCTCTTTACAAGTGTATCACATTACACCCCTAATTTTACTTTCTATTTACAAGAACCGTCATCATTCTTCTTGTTGTTGGTGTGGTTTTTTCTTTGTCCACCATGTAGCATGAACGATTAATTAACGATAGTTTTAGTGGTTAATGGTTGTTTAAGTATGATGTTAATACATCTGCTCTGTCATAACCCAACCAATCCAACCCCACACACATGGGGTCGAGTTGGCTATGTTTTACATTGTTTTTGACGGTTTGAGATTTTCTTAGCCATACTGGTTGGATTGAATTGTTCAAACGATTTTAAATCGGTCACTCCAGACCAAGTGCATTCATAAATGCTATGGTTATAAAATAATATGGCGTACTTCTTTCAATCTTGTTGATCTGTATACCGGATAGCATCTAACTTAAGTTGTATCTTAATAAGAATAAATTTTAATAAAAAAAATGATTAATAAGTAAATATAAAAAATACTTATTAACATCGTAAAAATTTAAAGAATATTCTTAAGAGAATCAATGTTACATAAAAATACTATATTTTTTAGTAATATATATATATATATATATATTTATTTATACTAGTTGTGTACCCGCGCAATGCGGCGGGAGCGATGAATTTTAACAATTATGAAGTTCCACTGGTTTTATAAGATAAGATTTAACGATGATATAGGTTACACTTGGTCTTTACATATTAATACAATTTGAATAAATAAGAGTTATGGTTCCAATTACAGACTATCGATGACAAAAATTGTATGACAGTTTAAAATCCAATATATATAAAATCCAACATATTTAAACGACTCCACAAATGTATTCGATTTACACCAAAAGCAAAGAACCAAAAAACTTGAGTTTTAAGATAAACACTCAAAAACAATAAGAAAAACTACAAATTTGACAGATCATAAGCCATGAAAAAGACAAAAAAAAGATGAATTTTAGAAATGAAATTTCAACTGATTACCCTCTTTCTTGTCCAGAAACTCAGATTAATGTTGAATTAATACATGTATGTATGTATGTATGTATGTATGTATATATATATATATTTCAAAAAAACCCAATAACATATTATACAGTGCAATTTGGACAGCCTAACTCTAAAATATATATAATATATATAAATAAATAACTATAAAAGTATAAATCGTAAAYATTAAAAATATTTTTTCACAGTATATATAATATATAATAATATAATTAAGTAAAAAATTATTCAATATTGGACTCATTTCGAAGGTATTAACGAGACGATTATAATGGTGTAACTTGTTAAAATAAAAATGTATTTTTTAAACATGTTTTAATTGATATACGATTATGTATGTTAATTTGATAAAAGTTTAAAATGAAACATTTAAAAGTAAAGGACGTAAAATAAATAAATAAATTAATTAATTATAGGGGTATAAAGTGTAAATTTAAAATTATAATTTAAAAAAAAATGTATGTGAGAGATTGAGTGTATGTGATGAGAGGAGGGAGTGAAAAGGTGAAAAAGTGAGTATAAATGGTATTTTGGTAATTTAGAAGTTTAAGACTTTTGCTAAATTTGTTTAATAAGATAGTATAGATATAATTGGGATCATGTGAGACAAAACTGTTTTCGTAAAATACGATTTTCACTTGAAACTTCACAGCAAAACACTGTAAAGGTAATCTTCACATTGTCTTTGTTGTGAAGGTTCGGTTTTTTTTACATTCACAACATTTTGTTGTGAAAATTCAAGTGTAAAGAACCCAACCATATATATATATATGTATAGAGAGAGAGAGAGAGAGAGAGCTTGGTTCAAATACTAACCAAGATTTTTGTGTTAACCTTGTAAACCAATTTTGGCCATTGATTCTTACAATAAAGGGTTGTGATTAATCATGAGAAAAAAATTATATTTTTAAATTTATAATTTCAAAGAACACATGTGAACAAAGGGGAAAATGGTATTTAGGTAATTTTCTTTTTTATGTAACTCCCATATCATTAATTGGTCAAAAAATCTCATTATTTTTATTAATTTATTTTTGTTAATGTAAGAACCATATGAACAAACACACACACACACACACACATATATATATATATATACACATATATGAACCATTGTGTCAAATACGAACAAAAATTGACATATATATGAACTTGGACTGTATAACATTTATGAACACAATATGAATATAATAAGAATAGTTGTTACACGAAAGTAAATAAATAAAAAAACAGGTATGAACACAATATGAACAGTTTGTGAATAATAGTTCCTTCATTATGAACACATTCAGGAGCAAACCAATGTTGAGATATGCAGCTAGTGTACATATGAACACAATATGAACAGTTTGTGAACAATAATTTCTTAATTATGAACACATTCAGGAGCAAACCAATGTTGAGATATGCAGCTAATGTATATATGAACACAATATGAACACTTGTGAACAATTCTTTAATAATTACATATGAATTCGAATTCCGATTGTAGTCATAGACGATTTTAACATTTTCATTGTTGTCGATCTTTTTTCCAATAGATTTATCCATATTACTCGGACGATATCGAAATCTTTACAATYGKAAATTCTTTAACAATTACAAAATCAATATCATTATGGATAGAATAAATCGAAATTACAAAACATTAACACGTATAAAAAAATATCAATATTACATAATCATCAATTATTGAGATTTTTAGATTTGTAACTCCCAATTAATGATTTGGGAGTTACATAAATAAAAAATTACTTAATTACTCTTGTCATTAATATATGAGTTATATGTGAACCTAAAGAAAATATGAAATATGATTGGTTGAGCTTGGTTAACAAAATTAACACAAAAATCTTGGTTAGTATTTGAAACAACCCTTAATATATATATATATATACATATATATATATATATATATGTTACTAAAAAATCTAAATTTTATACATAGGAAAAATCCTTGATTCCCTGTTCCCTTGCGGGATAAAGACGATGATACAATCTTATTTCTTAGTGGGATGAAAGATTTGGGGTCCCAGGTACCCCTACGACCCGTTGCCTCTCAGGCATCTATAACGGGTAACAGAAAATTTATTAAGAATTTTATAAATTTTGGTGCAAATAATGAATTTAGTCAAACGGATAACTTTAAATCATACATCAAAATGTAAGATTATAGGTATGTTATTATCTGTCAATTTCTATTGGTGTAAATGAATAACGTTACATCAATTTTGATATGCTACCATTCACTACATCAAATTCAATGTAATATATGATATCTATTGGAATGATCTGGTATCAAATTTGGTATTTAATATTCCCAGTAAAATAGCCTAAGCATATTCAATAACATCATCATTAATTTATCATTATTTTCAATAATCCAAAAGATTTGTATTAATGAAGAAGAATACCAACATATTTCAACTTTATCATAAAAACATATCTGTATTATTATTATTATCTATCTGATTTGTTGTTCAATTTTGTAGGTTAGTTCAACTGACAATAAGACTTGAGTCTTTTATAATATTTCTTGGAAGTTAATGTATGAGTCCTACAAGACCACTAGGTGTTTTATAGACTGTTTTTCTAAACCCTTAGAATTAAAAGTTTAACCATTTCCCTCATTCAAATTAGTTTTATAGCCATTTCACTATCGGGTTAACCAAAATGTCAAATTTTTCATAATATCCAGGTTCGTAATAGCTAAAGACCAAAAAAACAATTCAAATTCAACATAAATATACCATAGCGACGGTCAGGTCCGCAATTGTGACGGTAAACTGGTTGAATTTGATTTTTTCTTTGTCTTTTAGCTATCACGGACCCAAATATTATGAAAGTAGTGACATTTTAATCAATTTGGAAGAGAGATAGTTAAAAAACCAATTTGAATAAGAGAAATGATTTTTCTAGAATTAATTAAAATATACATAAAATAAGGGTTGTTTGTTTACCTCTTAATAATTTCATTAAGAGACAACATTTGAATCATTAAGAAGTAAATCTTGTTTAGAAAAAAAATCTGCCTCTTAATAATTATTAAACTCTCTAAATAATTTTGTAAACATTCAGCAACTACCAAAGCGTCGATTTTTATCATGCATGCACAGGTAGCTTTTTAATTGATTTACAGGTGATGATATAATTTAGGGAAAAGTAAAGATAAAATAATGATAATGATGGAAAAGGGGCCCGGAAGCCTTTAGGGTGAAGTGCAAAAGCATCTCAATCTATGTGACCGCAGAAACCAAACATTTTTTGGAGGAGAGCTTCGATTATGCCATCTATGGCTACTGAAAATTCAGACGTCTCACAGGCTGAACAAATCAAACTCCAAGCTAATGAAGCTTTTAAAGGTAATCTTATTGGCTTTTCTAACTCCTTTTCTTCCTCCAATCAATCCCTTTCTTGTTTTACTGAATGCCAGCGACATGCGTATTCGTATATGTGTAATGGCTGGCGATTATTTATCCATTTTATGGTTCAGAGACATTGTAAATGAATGTTTATGGTCAGTTTTACCATTGGAAACGTCAAATTGGCAAGTTAATATGCTCAGTTTGAATAGTATCAGTCTGTTTTCTAGGTTTTTATAGATTGGTGTTCTTGGGATTCCCTGTACATTTTCTGATTCGAAAAGGATTGTTTTGGCAGCCCATAAATATTCTCAGGCAATTGATTTATATACACAAGCAATCGAACTAAATAGTGAAAATGCTGTATATCTGGCGAATCGAGCTCTAGCTCATACTAAGTTGGAGGAATATGGAAGTGCAATACAAGATGCATCCAAGGCTGTTGAGATTGACCCCAAGTATTCAAAGGCATGGTTTTTATTTTTGATGTCTCCTTCCCTAGAAATCTAAGTTGTGGATATATTGGTCTTTTTGTTGATAAAATATCAGTAATTCTAGGGTTATTATCGGCGTGGTGCTGCATATCTTGCAATGGGAAAGTTTAAAGAAGCACTCAAGGATTTCCAACAGGTTTGTATTGTTTTCAATCATTTCAACTACATAGTGAATGATTAATTTCGTACCTATTAAATTATAATTGTTGTGAATGCAAATGGATAACTTTTGTGATCCATGACATGGACTTAACTATATGCCTCCTATGGTGCATTACATCTGTACTTGGAGTTAGGAAGTGACAAAATCTTCACGTAATAGAATATGCTCCCTCTTATATTAGTCGGATAGCATGTCAGTTTATTCTTTGTGGCCTTTTCTTTGTATGTTTAGGTTATTAATGCGATAATTTACGTAAATGACATAAAGAGTCCAATTTTAGAGTTGATTAAATGTGCCGAAATTAAAATTTTGCAATCCGGGGTCTTCACGGAATCAGCCTCTCTACCCTTGGAGGTAGATGATAAGGTCTACATTAATCCTGCCCTCCCCAGACCCTACTTCTGGGTTTCATTTGGTTTGGTTCTTTAATGTGCCTAAATTTGGTTTGAGGTTCTCCTTTTTGGTACTAATCACTAAATTCAATGAAATTCAAAATACAATATTATTTGGTTTTGAACCCAGTAAGTGCAAGTTTTAATCTATCATATATGATTGAACCTTTAGCATTTTTTTTTAGTTCAATCTTAAGTATATGTTGACAGTGTTGCATCTTTATTATAAATGCGTATAACTACCTTTAAGTTGTACATTCTCTGCAGAAATTAATCTTGCTTGACCACTAACACCTGCGGTTTTTCTTACACTGACATCGAATTAGGTGAAAAGAATATCTCCCAATGATCCGGATGCTTCTAAGAAACTGAAGGAATGTGAGAAAGCTGTTATGAAGCTTAAATTTGAAGAAGCAATTGCTATACCTACCACTGAACGGCGTTCAGTATCTGAATCTATTGATTTCCGTACTATAGGTATTGCTCTTTGAATGCTATTATTTATTAATATTCAGTTGTTATGATAGTTTTAAGTTTCTCTTATTTAGGTCAGGATTGTACTTTTTGCAAAATCAAATAATATTCGAGTAGAGAGGATACATGGCATAGTGTAATACGACTTTTACGACGTGGAATGTTTTAGCATTGCTCTATTTCTAAATCTTTATGTTTCGAGGGTTGCTTATTTTCCTACGATTTAGCATATTGGGTAGTCACGGAGTTCTGAAATTTATTTGTTGCATGATTATGTCCTGATTTTCAAGTGAGACAATGCTAATGAGGATTAGAAGGATGAGTGACTATATCATCTTTAACAACATGGGCCCCACATATCATTTTTCTATTTCTCTAACCTTTATCTTCTCTATGAGTCAATTCCTCACGATACCTCTTGCTTTAGCTTTACTTGAATATAAAAGGTTATTCTTATTTGAATGCTCCACGACTCCACATATGGTTTCGATCCCTTTGTTGTTTCGTCAATTCCCTTCTACAGTTTTATTTATTTACTAAACCACCTGTGCATATGTTTTCTTGAACGTATGTGTCCATATTTTGTTCTTGTTATTGAGTTTGAAGGCATAACAAACACATTAACAAAATCAATAACTCATACTAACAAGTCTTTGTAGAGACGTACATTCTTATAAGTTTTTTCCTTGACCTGTTCAATATTAAAATGAACATTAGATGTTGACTTCTCTTTGTGGTTTGTGTCTTTCTTATACGTGTTTGATCAATTTTTGGACGCCATTTTGAGAAGCAAGATATTGAGTAACCTTCCATGCTTCATGTACTTTCATCTCCTTCACAAGTTTCAAGCAGCTATATTAAACAACAAGACTCTGAAACTTGTTCAAATGAGGCTTTCTAAACCTTCTTTCTCTGTGAACTTAAGATGTGGAGTCACAATATGCGGGTGCAAGAATAGAGGGAGATGTAGTAACGCTAGAATTTATGAAGAAAATGATGGATGACTTCAAGAATCAGAAATGCTTACATAAGCGGTATTTTATGAAGTTCTTATCATAAGGTTTTGGTTTTGCATTACTGTGATATTCTAGATTCCCTCTTAGTCTTGATGTTCAAATGTTGTAGGTATGCCTTCCAGATTGTTTTACAGATCAGGGAAATTCTAATGGCCTTGCCATCTCTTGTTGATGTAAAGGTCATAAATGGAAAGCATTTCACAGTTTGTGGTGATGTACATGGTCAGGTAATTTATGTCTTCTGTTTCCTTTGCAGAATGCTTTTCTGAGTTCTTAGTATGATATTCGTGGAATAGAAGGGTGGAAAGAATTACACTTAAACAAGGATAGAGAACAAATTTGACAGTATTTAGAATAGTAGGAATTTTGTTAAACTTATCTTCCTAGATTGTTAGAATAGAGATCTTCCTTGACTGGCCTGCTATAAATTATGACATTTTTGTGGGTAACGGTGGGTGTCTGGGCCAGCCTGTGCGCACCTCGACTAATCCCATAGGGATTTGAAGATAACAACCGTGAAAATCCCCAGTGGCCCCCAGGAGACTGGAAGTGGTGACCTGTGGGAGAAGCCCTGCCTAGATTTTTATAAATCATGACATTGGAGAGAGTTAAAAGAACAAGTTTATGTTTCTTCTTTCGTTGCAAGTTCTTCTTGGGCTTCGGTTACATCCCTTTCTTGAATTGTCCTCTTTATGTTTGATTTTTTTGCATCAGGGATAAACTGAGTCACTTTGTTTTTTGTTATTACCATTAAATAGGTTTCTATTTCCAAATTAAAATCAAACTGGTGTTAACTCTCTAAATTGATTTTCAAAGCTTGCTAGTGGCGGAATTGACCAAATAGTTTTGATTCTAGAGAAAATTAACATATAGTACAAGTAATTTATTTTGTAACACTACCAAGGCTTTTTGGGTACTTCCAAAAACTTGTTACTTGACTCTTGAGTAAGCGTTTACAATTCAGCGCAAGTTATTTCTTGAAGTTGTGGTTGGGCGGTAATCCTATTTAATAGGTATATCTCGTTAATTCATTCTGTTTCACAGACAAAATATACACAGATATACACTGGGTAATGGCCTGCTGCCTATATTTTGTCTCTGTATAGTTTGTTTATGCTACTTTTTATTATCGTGTCCTTGTTGCTTCAATTATTTGGTTTTATCTTCTTTTCTCTTCTGAGGACCTGCCTTCTATGAATGCAGTTCTTTGATCTGTTAAACATCTTTGAGCTAAATGGCCTCCCCTCCGATGAAAACCCCTATTTGTTTAATGGTGATTTTGTTGATCGGGGTTCCTTCTCTGTGGAGGTTATTCTCACGCTTTTTGCATTCAAGTGTATGTCTCCATCAGGTAACCCACTTTTGATTGTGTACCTTTATTGCTATTATATCTCTAGAGTTTACAAACGAATCTAAGTCCTCAATATTTAATTGTTCGAGGCTTTATACTTCCATTGGAGTTGAAATAGTAATAACATTTTATTATTCATGTGTTCAGCAATTTATCTTTCTCGTGGAAATCATGAAAGCAAGAGCATGAACAAGATATATGGCTTTGAGGGCGAGGTCAAATCTAAGTTGAGTGATAAATTTGTGGAACTCTTTGCGGAAGTTTTCTGCTATTTACCTTTAGCTCATGTTATAAATGAGAAGATATTTGTGGTTCATGGAGGACTTTTTAGCACCGATGGAGTGAAGCTCTCCCAAATCAAAGCAATTGATCGTTTTTGTGAGCCCCCTGAAGAAGGTATGATGTAAATATGGGTTAGTGTTTGAAAAACTCATTGGTTATGTTATATTATCTGATATGCTATGGATATTAATATGCTACAGTTCAAAAGTATATATGTTTTATCAAACAACTCTTATGCTCTTTAGCTTATAGTTTAGATATATTTGGACCTTTCTCTCTCTCTCTCTATATATATATATATATGTGTGTGTGTGTGTGTATTTTGGCCATTGAAACAGTGAGACTACATATCAAGCCCTATTGTTAAGTTGAAATTTGTATGTATGCCTTTCTATTCATTTATGTTCTGGCTTTTTTGAAGAATGCAATTACTTTTTTGTTGCCCTCCGAGAAATCCCTGTTCCATCATATACTTCTACCAGTATTAGCTAGTTGCAACTTCTCTCTGTCTACAAATTTTATGTGAAGACAACTTCTTCATTTCCTTTATATGTCCCTATATATTTTTTATATATACGAACCTACAACTACTTCCCTGATATTAAGGGAATTGAAAAGCAATAAAGAAAATAATTTAGATCCTACTCTTTCTACATGTTTTCTATTCTTTTATGGAAGTAGGAAAATTATTACTTGGCATCTTAAGAACAGTTGAAGTAGTACATATACATCCTCATTCAGATTCGAACCCAAGTCGTGTTGCAACCATTGTGATGGGATCTAACCAAGATAACCACACATACAAAAGGCAAAACCCAGCCAAACCACCCTAGTCCATAATTCTTAGTTGTAAAATCAGATCAATTCCTACCCAATTACACATTGAAGTGAACCCACATAACATTATTACATGATGCTGTTTTGCCCTGTTCATATGATCATCATGATCATGGAATGCATTTGTTTTTGGAAGCTGTGTAATGTGTAAGACTTCCTTTTCGAGATCTTTCTGGATGCTGCTGTCACTACACCTCGTCAAATTATGAGGTTGTGCATGTGGCTTCTTTTGGGTATGGAAATTTTTTGTTGGTAACTGTGGCACCTCAACTAATCCCACGGGGGACCTGAAGATAATAGTCAGGAAAATCCCTAGTGACCCTGAGGAGCCCTGAATTGGCGAACGATAGGGAGGAGCCTTAATGCCTAGCCTCTATTTGCCAGTTGATCTGGCCCTCAAGGATTTGGGTACGGAACATTGTTGTTTAGTGGGTTGACATTGCAGTTAGTTGGCAAAGGAGAGGCCTTGTTGGGTATTCCCTTTTTGATTTTTGTTGTGTTCTTTTGTTAGTCTTTTCAACTATTCTTCGAAGATGAGTTGTCCTGTTCTGTGAATTCTTCCCCTTCTACCAATTAGGTTTCCTTTTCATTGCCAAAAATTTAGAAAAAAGGAAAAACTTTTCTATTGCGGTCTATCCGAAGGCCTAAGTTGAGTCGATTACATCTTTTTATATGACCTTTCGTTTCTTTCCCACAGGTGGTAATCTTATCTTCCCATGTATTTTAATCTTTTTTCTTAAGTTCGACATTCGGTGACCTTCAAATCCTTACCTTTGGATTTCCCAGATATAACTTTCTTAAATGTAAACCTTAGGTTCATTTCAGGAGATCAAAACTGGAGAGTCTATGATCCTAGAGCTCGTTTGATGCCTTTTCGATTATATCTATCCTGGTGCCCTTTGACAAACTGGATGGCTGTGTCAGATGTGTCATGTGTACTCCCATTTTTCAGACAGCGTTTATGTAGATTGTTGACCTTTCTGAGGGCATGACCTCTGATAGGAGTTCTTGGAGGTGGCGAATTAGGGTAGTTGATTGCTTGTAGGACTGCAGTTTGGGGGAGGGGGTTGGGAGGGTAGATGGTGGGTTGGGGGGAGGTTTGAGCGTCTTCACATAGGTTTGTGGTATATTTTGATAGAAATAGAGTTTTTTTGGGGTAGGGAGAGTGTTCTATGTGCTTTTTAGCTATGCAGGCTCTTTGCATTCTTGTATAATTCTTTACTATGTGCTTTTTAGAATGTAATGTTGTGCTATATAAATTCTTTAGTATACCTTTTTTCTGTTTTTCACAAGCTGGGGGTCTTCTCATAAACAATCTCTCAGTTTCTTGAGATGAGGGTAAAGGCCCGCGTACGTTTTACCCCCTCTCAAACCATACATCCGGGTGGGATATACCAGGTTTGTTTGGACAGGTTTATTGATAAGTTTTTTATATGATTTTCTATTTCAGGTTTCTTGTATTTGATATAACTCTTTTCGAATCGTTGTCGAATCAAATTAGAATTCCTATTTTGATCAATCTTTTTTAAAAGTTGTATCGAATCTATTTTATATTATAGTGTCTGTTAATAGTTTTAATGTGAAACATTTGATTTCTGTTTATCTGAGATAGTTATTTGTGGAGGCTGTCATGTTTTACAAATCTGGTGCTTATCATCAGGCTTGATGTGTGAACTACTATGGAGTGATCCACAACCCAATCCTGGAAGAGGACCTAGCAAGCGTGGTGTAGGTCTCTCGTTTGGCGGAGATGTCACGAAAAGATTCTTGAATGATAATAATCTTGGTAATTATAACGGTCTTTATCTTATATTACGGTTTCATTTTCTAAACTCCCGGTTTTCATCAAAATATAACTTATTTTGCAGATTTGGTCGTGCGATCTCATGAGGTTAAAGACGAGGGCTATGAAATTGAGCACGATGGAAAACTCATCACTGTTTTTTCTGCTCCAAACTACTGCGACCAGGTATTTTAATTTATTTTACTCATTTTAGCACTCAATACTTGCATTTTCACTAAATGCTTGATAATAGCTGATGGTGCTTATATAGGCAAAAGAGACCAGTTAAAATGTTAAGTGAAAATTATGTTTTCTAGCAATTTATGCTCTGTGATTTCCCTCCCCATGATGGTTGTGGGACCGGTGCGGTGGGGACGCTCTAGAGTGTGACGTATAAACTTTATGCTGTGGTTGTACAACTTCTTTTTGACATTCGTATATTATGCATGTTGCAGATGGGCAACAAAGGTGCTTTCATTCGTTTTGAAGCCCCCAATATGGAGCCGAAGATTGTAACGTTTTCAGCCGTGGTCAGTATCTCCTACCTTCCTCCATATCTTTTTTTCGTGTTTTTTTCTTTATATACCTTTTCATTCGAGACATGGGAGAAGACTACGAGCAAAAAACTTTTATATTCAAACCAAAAAACCCAATATACTCCACCTAGAGGTAGGGTCTGGGAGGTAAGATGTATGCAGTCAAGTAACTTAAATCCTCAAGCAACGGAAATCGCTTTTTTTTTTTCTTTCAAAATGCAAAAGAAAGACAAGGCTGCTTACAAGACTTCTCAACCTACCCCCACATTGTGTTTTTATGTGAGATAACGAAACCAAACTAACACAATATATGGTGGGGTCAGGAGATAAGATGTACATAGACCTATCATCTATGTTAAATGGTAGAGCAGTTGGTTTTATCTGAGGTATAGATTATAATTCTCACTTATTTTGTAAAATTGTGAACTATACAGCCACATCCGGATGTGAAGCCGATGGCCTACGCCAGCAACTTTCTTCGCATGTTCTCTTAGTACTGTGCTCGTGCTATCATTTCGGCACACAAAGTAGGTTGCTTCTCTCATCTATAACTGCACATATCGGGTTGCGGAACTCCGGATACGCATTTTGTGTTACTGTTTTTTTTTTACTGTGGTAACTTTACATCATGGGGGTATTTTACCATTTTTGTTGAACTTAAGTCTCGGTGTAAGATCTGGTCGCTAAAATGAAATTTTGAGCACTTATTGTTGTAGCTTTGTTGAAGAAAAAGTAGGGAGGGTCTTTTTTGGGCCAATCTTGAAAGCATGCAACAATGCCATTGCGATGTTCTGATTTTGTTTTTTATTTAGTAGTTTTTTTATGCGACATGTAACGATCCATCGGTCGATTTTGGGCCAACATCTGCAGGATCACATTAAATGATTAAATAACATATTTTTTATTTTAAAAATTGAATTTTTTTTCTTGAATAAATAATTTTACAACTTTTAAAACCATACTGTTTTTAGGATAATTTTGGAAGCAATCTATATTTGACGTAAATTTTCAACAAAGTTTATACAATCTTCGTATGGGAATAGAGGTGAAAGTCGTATGTTATTAAATTCTTATTTTCCTATGACAAAAATGATAAATTTGGAACCCAAAAAACAAGAGGGTAATGACAAACTAGATTTTTTTTTAATTAATTTCGATATCCAACCTCTTATGTGAGCCGACTAATTTCATGGTAACCATCCGTTTTGTGGGTAGTCTGAAGTTGTCCCATTTGAACCTCTGCGGCTGCAAAAGGATTTTTATTTCTTTTTGAATTTGAACCTGAGATCTCCAGACACGTTTGACCTTTGGAGTCTAAGTTTAAACCAATTGGACGCCACCCTTGTGGTTAGCAAACAAACTAGAACTTTACAGTAGCGTTTGGTATGAATACAAGATTGGACAAAAGAGTAGGATATGACTGAACATGACTAAACATAACAAGTGTTTGTCTGGTATTTGATATGAAATTGGATATAACAAAATTAGACAAATTATCTTTAAAAATAATTTAATAATTTTATATATTATATAATAGTTATAATTAAGTCACACAAATGAAATTTTTCTACCCCCAACAAGCTTTGAACTCAAAACTTTTCGTTACTAGAAACAATTAAAAATTAATAAAATAAAAAGCTTTTATAACTTTGAGCCTTCACCCTGCTTTGGATTAACTGCATCGCACGCGCGCACACACACGCAAACGCCCACCATTGAAGGCCCCACGTAAATTGCAACTAAAGTTGTTTCTTCGAGTTCAATCTCAGTCCTTTCCTGAAATATCAGCGCAGAAATATGGTTCTGGCCTCAAAATCAGGTAAAAAGATTTCTAATTTCATGTTTTCTTGGTATTAAACCCTACTGAAAGGTAAAAACGAATGAATCGAACTCCAATTAATCAAACGGTTCTAGAAACTTAAAATCCATCATCAGTCATGGTCGACCGTTTCATTTGTCTACATTTAGTGCATCATCTTTATAAAAATCATGTTACCTACATCTTGTCCTCCCCAGAACCCAAATGGGATATAGTGGGTTTGTTTGGTTTGATTTGATTTGATTTGGCATCTTTATGAAAAACCGTAGTTGTTGAATCATCTTTACATCCATCTTGGTTTAAGGTTACTTACAGTGCATCTTCATCCAGATTAATCATCGTATTTTTCTTTCTTTGAAGTTCTAATTCTTCCAAGAGCCATTCAAGAATTTTCTTTCGCATGCTTATTATTCTTTCTGCTGGTAGTAGTGTTCTTTCGTTGGGGGTATATTTTTGCACGCCAACTGTTTGATGAAAAGTTGACATGACAGTTTTTAAACAAGTTACTTGAAGAAAACATGGGAAAAGAACATCATCGGCATTTTCTAATCGTCAAGCTCGAAAGAAAAGAATAAAAGATCTGCAATTTGCAATTGCTAGAGGAGCCAGTTCAGAAAGAGCGAGAGAGATAACACTTGCTTATTGAGACTCAAACTGAAGATTGAGCAGAAATCATCTTATTGCAGTGGCCATGTCTCGCACCATGTTTACAAGGAGTCTATACCAACTACAAAACTTATCCAGAAGCAATGGTCTTTCCCTCCATAGTTCAAGTACTAATTTCAAACATGCAGTTCTTGCAGCTTTCCAGCCCCTTCTTCACAGTAGGCCTTACGCCAACAATCCTCAGCCTGCTGCTTCTGCTTCTTCTGTGGACCAAGCTGAACTAGCCAAATTTGCGGCTATTGCTGAAAGTTGGTAAGCTCATTTACTTTATTTTGTTATTAGCAGTATTAGGAAAGTGGTTGACATCATTATCTAATCGGCTTCATTGGCATGTCTCTTGTTTAATTTTTGAATTTTGCAAAACTACTAAAACATTTTTTTAGTCAGCCAAAGACACAGTAATCTTCCGTTACGCATAAATTATTAAGTGTTTAATAAATGTGAACTCACACATGAATCAGATGGTTAAGGTTTATAAAACAGCTTCCTCTTTATTCGTGAATAAGTAGAACAATAGAAGCACCTTTAGCAAGTATGGTAACCGCGAAGAGAGTACCAGGGAAAATATCAGCTTTTTTAGATTCCCATAACTGCGCAAAATCGACCGAAAGAAATGGCATCCGGGAAGTCTATAGTTGAAATAGAAAATAGGGCATTTCATGATATCATGATGACCAATGGTTAGAAATTATGGCAATTAAAAATGTGGAGGAATGCTATTTGCTTTTGCAGAAGTGCTACCATCTTCACCCATGGTAGTACCTGCAGGAAAGGTGACAGCATGTTAAATTAGAAATGTTGTAGGAAAGTAATTTTTTGAAGACGTGTTAGTTGCAGCTGTTCAAGTCTTCCATTACCATGCTCAGTGATCAAATTATGTTTTCTGTGAGACGGTTCTCATATTTTCTATAATATAAAGTGACTTCGATCAATCAATGGGTAGGAAGACTGGCATAAATCGTGATCATTTTAATATTGGGAAGCAGGACTTTGCCAACATGCTCATGTCTTCCTACCTTACTTTGAAATACAACTGGACCTTCTTCCCACTTAAGCCCCTCTCAGTTTTTGAACTTCATAAGATAATTCTTAATTAACATTGCTCGATTAGAAGTTGAGTGAAAAAATTAATTGGTGATACCGTTTACAAATCCTTACTTTTGATTAATATCTCACTGTATTTAATCTGAGTAGTAACTTTAGGGTCTGCTTGGCTCATGCTGAGGAATGAAAATGGAAATGACAGTGAATGAAAATGGGAATGAATGTTCAATCCCCCTAGTTTAACCAGGAATGAAATTTTGGCTTCTGTAGGAATTAGCCCATTATATTATAGAAAACAAAACAGTTTCTTTTATTTTTATTCCCATTGATTACTGCTTAATACCTCTAACCAAACACCCCCTTATACTTTTGAAATATGTTTCATAGTTTTCCATTGTTGACATTTTGTTTCTCTTACTGATGAAAGATATTGTTCCTCTACAGGTGGGATGCAGAAGGTCCTTTTAAGCCATTGCATGTTATGAACCCTACAAGGCTAACTTTCATTCGGTCGACTCTTTGCAGACATTTTGGGTATTGGTCTCTTTTCATCTATTGTTCTATTCATATCTCCTGTTTGTACTTGCTTCTTATGCACGATCTGCATTGCATCGTCACTTTCTGGGCATTCAGAGTCCATGATAACTGGAGCACCACATAGAGAAAATTTCCTAGAAGAGGGACTGAGCAATAGATTAAATAGACGTGCTCACTTACAAACAGAGAGAGGCATATGATAGTGTATGATCTAATCTGATAGATTCAAAATGTGCTATATCTGCTGTCTTTCCATGGATATCTCTCTCATCTTATATTACACATAGTAATTAAGGTTGTTACTTTCTCAGAAAGGATCCATTTTCTGCGAGGCCGTTTGAAGGACTAAAATTTATAGATGTTGGTTGTGGTGGAGGTATTTTATCTGAGGTATAAGATTCACATCCAAGGCATTGTCATTTAATTTGTACATGTCTTCTCTGTCTCTTACTTTTTTTGTATCAGTACTTGTTATTATTGTGGCAGCACCCTATCACTTGGTTCATAGATTAATCAAAGATTTGGACGCAAGTCTCTTGGTAGGATAGTGAAGGGTTATAGATTGTGTGAGAAGCGAAAAGAGAGATAGAATACACAATACAGAGGGAGATGGTGTCCATACTCAAGGAGTCGGTGATAAGACGAAGCTCATGCACATAACTATTGTGTGGTTTAGATGAATATAAGGGTGAACATCAATTTTGGCTTACAGTCTGTTTTAAAAGGCTTTATGTAACTTCTAAGACTGGGAGGCTGGCATAATTTATGTGCTACATAACATTATGTGTGGAGTTGGCAGTAAGGGTCCATGATGACCATCTGAAAATGGATATAGAAGTGGAAGGTTAGTTCTATTTTCAATCTGATTTCTAATTGAGCAACTGCAAATGCGAGACTTGATTCACTTGGAAATGGGTGGTGCCCATGTTTGTTTTGCACCAAAATAGAGAGCATTAAGTATGCAGTTCAGATATAGGTGTATTAAGAGTGCATTGAACATCTGAATAGTTCTTAAAGCTGCAGAGTGATTTATACATGATAATTTTTTTTTTTGCAACGAGGTACATCCAGGTGAATCTATGGAAAGAAATGTACTCATAAATATCCTAATATCACCCTTCTATCTGAACAGACTAATAGCAGATTAGACTGGAATATGTGAAAAATGGCGATGGCAGTGTCAAACTGTCAATGATGGCCCTCACCGTAAAACAAAAGGAACATTGCTAGGAAACTGGGAAGCTTTTTCCCCCTTGCCAAATCATGTCTCAGGTGCTTTTGGGGGTGTGGTGGGGTGCACAACCTATGAAACATTGTCCGTGTCCTCAAATTATTGAATTGACCACCAATTCACGAGGATATAATAAAAAGAATCAGGATGCATAACGGGCAACTTTCATCTCTTTTACAATAGAATAAAAAATAAACAGAAAATTCACAATCTACAAATCAAACCTGAGACCTTGAAAGAGAACAAAAAAAGATGAAGATGATGTTTTTTTGGATAGTTTAGACTAATGTAGACAAGTGAGTAAAAGTAAAAACATGGCAAGACTTGGGTTTTAACGTGCATTTATCGTATTAAATATATGAATCATGAAACGACCTTTCTTTTATTGGTTGGTTTTAAACATGTATATGTACACAGAGACATGTATATAGACGCACCCCTGTATGGCTGTATCCTAAGTATTTAGAATCTCCAAATTCCGATATCCATGCTGCAGCCATATACTTTGAACATAGGCACATTGATGATGGTGTGGCTATTGTGCAGTAATTATGAATAGTAGCATGATAAGAGTACTTATAACTATCAGTGCCTTTATGGTAGCAAAGCTCAAGCTCTTTTTGTGGTCTGTATGCTTTAGAGGCTTAGCAAAAATAACTTCAAAGCCTTCTCTATAACAGCAAATGGAACTTATCCCCATATATGCACAGTGGACAAATGATTAACATAGAGTTCTTTTGTTCCCTTCTAAGTGCTATAAGACAATCATTTATGACTTTAATATCATATATTTTTTCTTTTTGTTGGCTCTGGTCAGCCTTTGGCTCGCATGGGGGCTTCTGTGACAGGAATTGATGCTGTGGAGAAGAATATCAAGATTGCACAAGTTCATGCGGTATGATTAGTTAGAATGGTGTTGTGTTTGCACCCACATAGTCTTCTGTAAAAATGATTTCTAGAAGAACCGGAAGCCGGGGGGGAGATATCGAAAGATGTAAAAACTTATGTATTTATGTATTTGAGCTATTAGCCAAATATCTAAAATATGCTGAGTAGTGAAAAAAATAGGATTACTTTTGGACCAAAATCAATGTTATCAATATTCTAATAGTTGCTAATTGGCAAAATGGTAATATTGGATTGGACCTTTGCCAAAAGGGAATTGATGCTTTTATTTTGGGACATTCCAAAAATGACGTTGTTGCGTTTACTTTGGGGTGGAGGTAATATAATTATTTATTATTATTTTAGGTACATAATGACATGTAGTATACCACAATTTCTTCTTTTGTTTAGGATTTGGATCCTGTAGCTTCCTCGATTGAATATCGTTGCACAACTGCCGGTACCTCCTATACTCTTTTAACTCTGCCCCTTTTATCATTTCTCATTCCTTGGACTTCCTATATCTACTCATTTATGCTTTATACATCTTGTACTCCATTATGTGTTTGATTTGAGTTTCTAACTCGAGATCATTGTGCATTAAAATAGTTTTTTGAGATTAGTCGGAAAATTTTGTTTCTTCTCCAGGTTAGCTTGGATTAATCATAAGTGCAGTGCCACATATATTTATAAGTTTTTGCGACCTGATTTGCTTCTAGTATAGGTTTAACATTCCAAATATCTTACTTAGAAACTATATTGATTTTTGACCCCCAGCTTGTAAAAAGACCATGAAGATCATCGATGAATCTAGCCAATTTGCCTTGCAAAGCCACATCACTAACTCATTGTATTATCTTTTAATTATAATATTTGTTGCATCTTTGACTGCACCATTGGAAGATTCTTTGAGTTTTGATTGCTACTTGGTGACATTGGAAAACTGAGATGCTTAGGTGGCATTAGAAAAATATGTCGTAGGACAGCATAATGTTGGTGTGTCCCTTCGACATTATTCCTCTATACATATTCCTTATATGACCATCTTTATACAAATTCGATGATGCTTGTTATAACTATGTGAACAGAAAATTTGGTTGAAGAACAGATGAAGTTTGATGCTGTTATTGCTTTAGAGGTATGATACTAGTCCATATATCATGTATCCTTTAGATCCATAATTTGATCATGTGTTATCCATCAAAATGACATTCTCACATTTATTAGAAATCCCATTGGTTCTGGTTCACCTTCGATTGTAGAATATCTAATTGGTTGATTTTTTTTCTCCATCAAAGTGCCGACCTTATCTGCATGATTCTCGGTGTTGGCTGAATTGCTATCATGGTTGAACTGGTTAATTCCTTTTCGTCTCGATGTTTTCTCTCCACCGTTATCTTGTATAATAGATTTACGATTCAGGAATGCATGAGATACAAGAATGGAAGTGGACACAAAAAAAACTATCGAGATTACCAAGGAATAGACGGAAGGGTCCTATAGCACTTTCATATTTCTTATATAAGAGTGTAAACAGGACGTAATTCATGTCTGAAAACCCTACGGGGTTCACCTCCATTCGTCTGATGTGTTTAACCTCTTATAATGGCTTTTTGCCACTTGGGGGGCCGTTTACGAAACACTTAGGTAAGTGCTTACCGGCAAGAGTCACCACCCTCACTTACCTTTTATCACTTAAGATTCTCGGTCTTTGCTATGCCTTTTTACGGTGAGATTCTCAGTTCTTGCCATGCTCACCCGGTAAGTGTGGTAAACGGCTCCTTAGTAATCAATGCTTGAAATTTGTAACTTTGATTGTCGTCCGCAATCTTTCTTCTTTTTCTTATTATTAAAGGGCATTTTTAGAGATCTGATCAACAGTCGGACATTTTCATTAAACCATATGCCGGGCAAATATTGCATTTTTGGACGGAGGGAGTAATAAAACTACAATCATCCTCAAAAATAGGACTTAAACGAAAGAAAATTACATTTAAGCCCTGCATATGCATTCTTTGATTTCCTTTGGATCAGGTAATTGAACATGTAGCAAATCCTGATGGTTTTTGCAAATCCTTATCGGCATTAACTAAGCCTCATGGAGCTACTATCATCTCAACAATTAACCGTTCTATGAGAGCATATGCAACTGCCATCGTTGCGGCTGAGTACATCCTGCATTGGGTACGATCATAACTTTCTTTACTGCCAAATTTTGTTGAATTTGTTCGTCTTGTTGCTGTTTTATTTTTCCATGTAGCCTTGACAAACCTTGAGGGCTAGTTCACCGGCAAATTAGTCTAGCCTCTGGTCTTCCAGGAAGTCAGAGGTTCAAACCTCACCAAGGGTGAGTTTATCTGTTGCATTTGTTGTATATAAATATTATATACTTCAAATATAGGCTAGCCCTGGGCTCCTTCTCATAGATCGCTAGTCTGAGTCTCCTTAGGGCCACTGAGGATTTTCCTAGCTGTTATTTTCAAGGCCGGATTAGCCGAGGTGTGCGCAGGCTGACCCGAACACCCACGTTTAAGAAAAAAGTAGCCCTGACAAGGGTTTGTGTAGTTGAGAAACAATTTAGCTTTCTTTTGCCATGATCATCACTTCATAATATTAAACATCTAATTACTGTTTCTTATTCTTTTTTCCCTTTTGGAATTCTATGATTTTCTGTATGCTGAGAAGTTGTTTGTTGACAGCTTCCCAAGGGCACACATCAGTGGTCGAGTTTTTTAACTCCGGAAGAACTAGTATTAACACTGCAGCGTGCTTCTATCTCCGTAAGCAATATATATATATGTATATTATATATATATATATATCGGTTCTTGTTAAAGTGGATTTGAGCTTTTTTACATCATCATAATCTGTTTTGTTTCGTTACTTGACTGCATTTGTTAGGTTGAAGAGATGGCTGGCTTTGCATACGATCCCCTGACCGGTCAATGGTCATTAACTGACGATATCAGTGTCAACTTCATTGCCTTTGGTATTAAAAACAGCGAATAATTCCCCGTTAAGCTTAAAATCAGCAGTTTGTGGCCAGCTTTAGAACGGTATGTCCCTGTTCTTTGTCTAGTTCTCTTCTATTAATAAGTAATCACTCTTTGGAAACACAGTTACAGTAAGTTGTTAGAATATTCCACATCTTGTTAACGATATCCGTTAGCTGATGGTTTCTGTTCATTTATCTCATGGAAACTGCAACATTTTTTCGGTTTGGCTTGCTCATTAGTGTGATCTGGTCGTGGTTAAACCGGCGAACCCTCATATTCCCGCCCCAAACCTAAACATAAGGGTGCACATGGTTTGAGTTGGGTTGGATGGGTTAAGGGCTCAAGTCCATTTGAATAACCTAACTCAACTAGTCCGGTTTAGAAAATCGTAACCGGTGCAATATATAACCTAGCCCAACCAATTACATATCAAAATGTTGGTAGTTTAAATTTATGTCCAATTGTTTAAACGTAAATGTGAAGATACGTATCACATACAAATTGGGTTGTTTACGTCTTTATGAGGCCAAAAATGATTCAGACGTTTGATAATACACAGGTGTTTGACAAATGGGCTTGACAAATTTAAACTTTTAAGCCGAAAATGATCATTTTGGTGATTTTCCCAATCTTTAATCGACATGTAGCTTACTAGTTTGTTGGGTTGGGTTGGTTCGGGTTGGCCCTTGATGCGAAGGCCAACCCTATTTCTATCGGTTTGTATATTTTTTAAACCAATGAAATTGGATTACCTATTCCGTCTAGTTTTCAGATTGGGTTGGTTGGTTTTTTATGTACTCAACCTGAATTGTTTTCCAAATTTGAATTAGATGCAAGTATTTAAAAGAATCGTGACAGATATATAAGATACTTTCCATTTGTTATATCATCTATACTCGGGTGGACCCACTTTATTGGATATGGTGGCACAGACCACCTTTTCGTTCCTCTATTGTGGTGTAAAAAATAGAGTCATGAAAAGTGTCATTGTATCAATTTGTTGCGTCATCATATATATCTTGAAACTACAACAAGAACACATGTTTCTCTTGGTAGAGTTGGTTTGCAAGCCATCTCTTTCATCTCATACCCGAGTTTAAATCCTGTTAGTGTCATTTTTTTTAATTTTTAGCTTTTAATTTCAGATTTATTATGTTTTTGAATTTTTTTTGGCAATAAAGTTTGAACACAGGACCTCATGTATGAAAAACAATGAACTAAAACAGATCAATGATGATTTTATAAAATATATCCACATATATTATTTTTTATAGTCAACTGGTACCTTTATATGAAAAAATTTCTAGGCCTGTCTCTATCTATACAAACCCCATCTTCATCCAACCGATGGTTTTTAATCCCCTGAGCGTTGTTGCACCACCATGAAAAAACATCACAACCATTTTGATTAATCATTTCCCCCTCGGTTTCAATTTATCTTCACGTTACATTTTATATAATATATTTTTATCGAGATATTTCAAGTTGATACAGTAAATTATAAAGTTTTATTGAAATGAACATTATTAGTCATTTTATAACAAGTCTCTAACGAAGCAACGGTAAAATTTATGCCTTAAGCATGATATTCAAATGGGAGACAAATTTTTTATGTACTTAAATTTTGGCCAAGCATTTTGGTCATATACCTAAAAGAATTTTTCAAGTAGAGAGAAACCTTCTATGATCTAGGGTAATGATTTATCAATTTGTTGGTTTTTTTTTTTCTGAAGTAACAACATGATAATTCATTAAACCAATACAAGTACAAGAACTTTCTCACGTGTATTTATAATTTCATATTTTAATAATCATTTCAATCAATTATTGTATAAAAAGAATTTTTCAACCGACAATTTCCGATTCAGTCCAAAACTGTCTCCACCCCAAAAAAACAAATCCCACCAGGTTGCTAACTTAAGAACCCAATGTCCAAAAGAAGCGTAATCAAATTATGACCCTCATGTTGTAATTGCCAGAGTTGAACCCTCACCAGTTTGTATGAATATATCATCTTGAAACTATTTTTGTAAATTAGAAGGTTTTTATGAAAACAACTGCTTTTAACATTGGTATTAAAGAAAAAAAAAATACATATATCATACTTTTAATTAAAAACACGTTTTATATGTTTAAATTGATTTGATTTGATTTTAAATCGACATTTCTAATCAATTGATGGGTATCATTCATATCTATATTCGATAGACTCAAACGGGCATTGTGAATGGACCCGGATCCAATCAGAAATTTAACAAGTAAAATGATAAACGATGAAAACCCAAAAAAGGAAAGAAATTGAGAAGAAAAGTCCGATCTTTCAAGATAAAGATAAATCTATTTTGTCAATGTTATCGTTCCCTAGGAATAGTATAAAAAAATCGGAGTATTAAAGTTTGGTTTGCAAGCAATCTCTCTCTGTGTGTGTTTATATAACGTACGAAAACAGTCGATTTGGGCATCAAAATTGAGGTTTAGCATTAGAATTTTCTTGAAATGGGAGTCCAAGTAGCAGACGACTCGAGTGTTGTTGCTCGTGGGAGGTTGGCTGTTTTATCAGCACATCTTTCTGCTTGTCTTGAATCCAGTGCTTTTACACCTGTTCTTGAGTCGTCATGCACCTCAGCTCAGGTTTTTGTGGCGCCACCGCCAAATTTGAAGGGTTCGTTGGCGATCGCCGATGAAAGAACTGGCAAGAAGTATAGGGTTCAAGTTTCCGAGGAAGGTACCGTCAGAGCCACCGACTTGAAGAAGGTAAACAAAGTTTTATGAAATTTGATTTTGCTTAATTGAATTATTAGTTGTGAAGTCTGATTAGGTTTTGCTTTGTGATCCTTGTGCGTTTTGGGGTTTTCCAAAGAACACGAGTTTGGATGTAACTGATCGAATTGGTTAGAGATTTTCTTGCAATCAGATGGTAGGATCTGTGGAGAAATATTAACTACAAGTTTTATATCACAATTGAATCGAAATTGCCCCTAAACATACATCAAAAGGTGTAACAGGGTGAGAAAATCTTATCGTTTTGTTGTATCACCTTAGCTAACCGTAGTACAAAATTATTTCTGATGCTGACAATTTCATCAATAGACGCCCGGAATTGTGTAAAATTTTGGTATACTGGTATGAGAACGATTGTAGTAGGAAGGATTTCGGTTGAAACAGAAGAGGAAGAGGCTTCGTGGGTTACATATAATGAAACATTTTATGATCGTACCATAGTCTATATGATCAGTTGTGTCCTCGATAAAATTCATAATGAACATAAATGAAGCCTATGGTTGAGCATGCAAGACATGTGGAAAGGAAAATGGATCAAAGCATAATATGTTCATTGACAAATGAAGAAAAGTGAAAGAATGCAAGATTGGGAATGAACCTTTCAATATTTTTGGATTGGTGTGTGATCATGTATTTCTACTTTAAAACAGTTGATAAATTTCATTCTATTTGTTCAAATGTGTATTCTGTTGTATATGGTCATCGTGTATCGATAATGATTTAGACTAAGGCTACCGTGAGCTGAAGTTAAATGTGTGTATGACTTGTTACAGATAACAACAGGAAACAATGATAAGGGTCTGAAGCTTTATGATCCTGGCTACCTTAACACAGCCCCTGTTCGGTCGTCAATCTGCTACATAGATGGTGATGAGGGGATCCTAAGATACAGAGGCTACCCAATTGAAGAGTTGGCCGAGAGTAGTTCGTTCTTAGATGTAGCCTATCTTTTATGTAAGTCCTCTTTCTCATGCCTCTGCTATGTTTGTAGTAGATTCACTTTTAGATGCACAAAAAAATTGATGAATACAATCTCAAACTTGTATCATCCATCCTTTGTTTTATTAGCTGCTTGTATTGAAATTTCACTGTGTATTATATGTTACACTCCATCCTTTCTGCAACAAGTGTTTCAATTGCAAAATTTACAAAGATTAATGATCCATGTAACTGTGAGAGGTCTACATCTATATTCAAGTTTTACTGTAGAACACATGGAGTTTCTGTTTGTAATATTTGTGTGAGTTGGTTAGTTAACCATTGCAAATTATTTGCAAGATGCGAGTTTCTCTATGTAATATAATATTCATATATGAAGTTTCTTTGTTCGTACGGACATAAAGCGTTAGGTACAGATACATCCTAATACTATCCAATTAGGGTGTATCAAACAAGAGCAAACCCATTTAAAGTATGCGTTTCTCTTTTATTTCTCAAAAATGCATGGCAACTTGGTGCCAGTGTGTATGTATATCTGTGTAGGCAGCCAACTGATATGAATAACTTTTGGCATTGCTTTGAACGACATCATTGGGCTCAAATAAATCAAGTCACATTGTAGAACTTGGCTACTGCTTGCTTTGCTAAAAGTTCATTCAGAGCTCAAGCCGATAAAACAAGTTCATCAATACAATTAGGTCAACATGGTCAAATTGCTATTTTCATTGAGCTCATTTGTTCCAGCTTGAAAACAAGGTTAGATTATTAGGTAACGGTTCAAGTCAAAATTTTGAGCTGCCAAATGGTTGGCTAGACTGGGTTCATCTCCATCATCAAACATGCTTAGGCAATATAGGAGCTTGATAAGGTTATTGAGAACTTTAGCAGCACAGGTTTCACATAGTTACCTGCCAACTCAAGTGTATGAGTATCAATGGTTCCTAGAAACTTAATGACTACTGTTCGATGTGTGTGTATATATTCAGATTTCAGAATATTCTGGACTTTGTGTGTTTCCATAACCTTTTTTGTTATTGATGTCCTTGACTACTTTTAGTTCACTAATGATTGTTCTTTGCAGTGTATGGGAACTTACCTTCTCAGAGCCAGTTAGCAGACTGGGAGTTTACTGTAGCACAACATTCAGCTGTTCCACAGGGAATCTTGGTAAGATGGTTTCACATTCAATCTTTGTTTACCACTTAGGATAGAATATATTCAGTTGCTACGTTTTAAAATCCTCTGATATAGCAGATTCAATAAATAGGTATTATAATAGATGTACCATAGTGCTGACTGCTACACATGTTAAGCTTTGGAGTACCTATCTAAAAACTGCTCTGATAAGTCCAGAAGAGATATACTTTGAAGGTCACTACATTCAATTACAAGACTTATGTGATTACTTGTACTTGTGGAGAATTATGTGATGACTACACTGAGCTTTATGGCAACAAAATTTTGATCGACTACTGCTGATTCTCAAGTACCAAGTGTGATAAAGTCAATTTATATATTATATTTACGAATGAAGGGAGTTTATTTCTGGATTTAATGTTTTATGAAAATTTGAGAACATATCCATTATGTTTTGAACATGAAGACTTCACATATGTTGTTATGATGACTTTGTTGTGCAAGTCTTTAAACAATTGTTTTGCATGTTTCTACAAATAGTGTTTATTGTAGGATTCATAATGCATATCTTTCTTTTATGAGAAAGTTATGCATGTGGACTATGAATTTTTGAATTCTTCTTTACTCTCTAGACAGGTGTTCGCTATGAGTCTATGAATCATACTTTATAAGCATCTAGTTTTGTATGCCATCTCCAGTATGCCCCATAACCAACCTACTTAGGAAAATATTTTCAGAAGATGAAAATAATTACAAAAACCTCTTATTGATGATGTATGTATTCCTTGGTAACAGATATTCTAAGCCATAACTCAATGATGCATGGTTGGTTGATTGGATAATGTTTCATGATCTCAGGATTATCATATATTTTTGTTTGCTTTCAGGTTCTTCAAACGTTAATTTAGTTGTTAGCTTTTGATGTCATCACAGTATCTTTTAGGCGATAATTCTAACAAATGCAATTATAGTTTACCTCCAAAAAAGTATGGTAATCTAGGATAACTTCCAACGTAATGACCCTTATGGAGAGAAGAGGTCTCATCATATTCATGCCCTTTATTCCAAAGTAGTCGATGGTAAATACCTTATTATCAGGATGTTTACTTTTCATCTATGCTCAGTCTTATAATTATCCAATTTATTATTGATATGTGCTTTTGATGAAATATTTGTAAGTAGCGGTTTTAATCACATGCTAGAAGTGAGTTGAGTGGAACTTCATTGTAATTAAAAAACTGATCACTTAAACCTTATCATGTATTGTTCTGCCTATTTTAAGGACTTTATCATGCACCTTTAAAGATCAACGGTTATGATTATGGATCAGTTATTTGATTCACATATCCTGTCCTGTTAAACAAGCTATATACTTAATTACCACTATATTCACCGTGGAGATAACATATAGGGCCTTGTTTTTGTTTGCATTTGGCATCTATTTTCTCCACTCTCAAGTCTAGTTTCTTGCCAAAATGTGTGCTTGAGTCCACCATTTACTTCTTTGTGTGCATAGAGAAAGGGTGTCGAAGTTGGCATGCAGGAAGCAAAGTTCCAAATTTGAAATCACTTACCTGAAAAATCCTTATACTTGTCTTGAAAGATGCTTGGCTGATTATGACTAGGTTTTAGAATAACTGATGTAATCATTATTTACATAACAAAATACGTTCAGCTTCAAAAGTTATAAGCTTACAATTAATAATTAGGAAGTGGATTAACTTATTCTCTGAAAAACATAATACTTCTGTGGCAGGATATTATACATGCCATGCCTCATGATGCTCATCCAATGGGTGTTCTGGTCAGTGCAATGAGTGCCCTTTCTGTATTTCATCCCGATGCAAACCCTGCTCTTAGAGTAAGTAATCTCTCTTTTGAACATATTCAGATTTCCACATAAACTGCATTATAGAGGACTTGCTTTTTCATATACAGATGGTTCACATTCCCTTGATGTGCAAAACATGGTAGATGTCATAAGTACCATGTTTGGTTTATGTGGTGCATTGAGCTGCACTCTGGATCATGTAAACATATAATTAACCGAGTTGATACAATCTCTACTTTTTTCTTTCCCATCCTTGTAAGTTTATGATGTGCTGAACCATGCAGTGTTGTCAGATAGCAGAAAGTTAGATACAACCTGTGGAGCATGACGCTTTAAACTGAGAAATCGTATTCGGCCAACATATGGAGTAAAATCTTTTTATGAGTGGGGAAAAAACAAACAAGCATGTCACACGTCTTTTTCATGGCATACACTTGTGCTATTTTGCCATTTTTATCATGTAATCACCTTGCAAAAATGGGAAAAGGGAATTGGCATAACAGTGGGATCAATAGTACAGGCTGTAGTCCTTACTCTAACAGGAGCGAAAGAAATTATGGTCATAATTTGGGACATTTTAGAAATGCAGATTGGACAATTTTGCATGGAAACCATGTACAATATAAACTACTTACTCTGTCCAGAAAAGAGTCCACTTCATATTTCTTTTCTTTTTCTCAAAAGAATGTTTGGTTAAAAAATTTAACATCAAGCTAAATTTGATGTTCCTAAATTATTCTTCTTTTTTGAAGATTGGACAAAGAAACATTGTATTGATCATACCCAATCATGTGTTAGGTTCTCCAAAAAAATTTCTATAACCAGATTCTGAAGTGGACCCTTTTTGGGGCCGAGGGAATGGTACATTTGTTATTGGGCAGCATTGCTTGTGAGAACTTGTACCATCGCTTCATCAAGTAATCTTACATAGGTCTTGAACCTCTTGTTCAAAATTGTTCAATCTGACAGTTTCTTTTTCTTAATGCAAAATGATTGATTGATGTTGAAGATCGTTACTTCGAGTTGCAAGTTTCAAGTTCTTTAAATTTTGTCTTCATAACACAGAATTTTCATCTCCACCAACAAACTTTATTTACTGCACCATCAAATTCAGGCGAAGGAACTGAATGAGTAGGCTGAATTTTATCCCGTGATTATTAGAGAAACCCCTTATCCTGATTTCTTATTCAGCAATATACATACAACATTTCTTGCATGATGATGATAATAACAGAGATGGAGGACCCTTGCTGTAACATTTTCTTGCTTGATGGACCTTGTGACATTACTTCAACCAGATTGTCAACTTTAAATGCTATTGGAGATTTTGCTCAGAGTAATTTCGAAGTTCTATGTTTCTTCTCAATCTTACTTTATTGATGTAGGGTCAAGATCTGTACAAGTCTAAACCAGTGCGAGATAAGCAAATAGTGCGCATACTGGGGAAGGTATTGCTTGTTGACCAGTTCACCCGCATCCCTTTTTCTTGCTTTTCCCCTTTATTGCAAGGGAGGGATGGGAGGGGAGGGGGTATTCCTTATATTTTGTCAATTAGTTGAGCTTATGGCTATTGATTAATCTTCAGGCACCAACTATTGCTGCAGCAGCTTATCTGAGGATGGCTGGGAGGCCTCCTGTTCTTCCTTCCAGCAACCTTTCTTACTCAGAGAACTTCCTATACATGCTAGATTCATTGTATGTCCTGTCATGATACTTTTCTGTGTTATTTGTGACTAGATAGTTACAACTGTCGTTATACTATCCTTTCTTGGATTATTTAGAGCTTGTTATGTACTATTTATATATACAACTTGTCCCAGGTGCTGATATGCTTCTAAAATTGCTTTTGAACTAGAGATTTAATTTAATTTTGGGGAAGTTTGTCTTAGTTCCTATTTAGTGTGACGAATAATTTTTTTTTCTCAATAAATGTGACAAAATTTCAAGATTTCCTATTTAGTGTTACAAAGTTTCAAATTTTCTTTTTTTTTACCCATTTTAATAGGTAACCTATTGTTCCTGTAACATTTGATGACATGGGTGTCAAGGTTATTGTCCACTTTGCCATAACCCTTCTGTAAACATTTCATAAACAGGTTTCTGTGTTATCAAATGTCACAAGATCAGCAGGTTACCGGTCAAAATTGGCACATAATAGAAAGTTTTGGAACTTTATTACATTGATTGAGAACTAAACCAAACTTTGTTGCAAGTTGATGCATTTTGCTCTATAATTTTCATCTTGCAACTTTTCAGTAATCTTGATTGGTAATTCTAGTCCTTGGTAAGCTCGCCTCTTCCTGATTGTGACATCCGCTTTATGTACTTGCAGAGGCGACAAGGCTTATAAACCCAATCCTAGACTTGCTCGCGTCCTCGATATTCTTTTTATATTACATGCAGAACATGAGATGAACTGCTCCACTGCAGCAGCGAGACATCTTGCGTCAAGGTAAGCATTTATTTCCTTATTAACTGCAGCATCCTTATGTTTTATAGCAAACAATGACCAGAGATGTGCATGCAGTGGTGTCGATGTATACACGGCTCTTGCCGGAGCGGTTGGAGCACTATATGGCCCTCTCCATGGTGGAGCAAATGAGGTATGGTGAGATTGGGTGAAGCAGCCATATATAGGGTGCCACAAAAAAAATGCTCCCACTGTCCCAAAAGAAGTGTCCACTTCCAATAGTAAGTGCCTATTTTCCAATTCTACCCTTAATTTTGAGATGGAGAAATTCATTACTCTCTCTATTCTTAAGGGTAAAATTGTCATTTGTTGACTATAAAATGTAACAATTACATATTTTTAGAACTGTGAGCCTTTTTCATCGTGGACATTTATTTTGGGATGGAAGGAGCAAGTGATATCTGTAGTTACTCGTGTTCTGTCTGATCGCTATGTCTATAATTTTCTTTGTTCCATGTTGAATGAACCTACAAATAGAATTAAGCTTTCATGTGCTATCTTGTTGTCATAGGCTGTCCTAAAGATGCTGAATGAGATAGGAACTGTTGATAATATCCCAGAGTTCATTGAAGGTGTGAAAAACAGGTCAGCATTCTTATGTGATTTTTGCCGCTGAGATGTTAACATAAAATGTCCTGAGTGTGAATTTGGTGATGGTGTTTTTCCATGGTTGATTCCTGATCATGTACAAGTTCATGTCCACAGGAAAAGAAAAATGTCAGGTTTTGGGCACCGTGTGTACAAAAACTATGATCCCAGAGCGAAGGTTATTAAAAAACTGGCAGAGGAGGTTTTCTCAATTGTAGGCAGGGATCCCCTAATTGAGGTATTTCAGAGTTCATATAATGATATTTCCGTGTTCTTACATTTAGACCTATGCCCCATCTTTCCTGGTGGTGATCATACTTATACCTATCACTTTGGTTTCGTTTTGCTGTTCTTCAACATAGTTTAAGGAGAGAGTAATAAATGATTCGGTCTCTTGTAGGACACATTTCATTGTTGTTGAGTAGCATACTTGAGTCCATCTTTGCTTTACACAATGTTCGATTGGTTTAAGTTATAGTTTCCTAGTTTCCTGATAACCATGCTAACTAAATACTCCGTCCCAAAAGAATGCAATATTCTTTTTCTGGGCTGTCCTTAAAGAATGCAATATTTCCCTGTTGGGGAAGTTTTTTTAATCCAAATTTACTTTATTGTCTGCCAAGTTGTGTGGGCTGCTGTAGAAAATTCACAACCTCCTTAAAGATGATTGTAATATGTTTTTGCTTCTGTTTATCAGCATTACATATTTCAGCCTATGTTTATGCACCAAACAGTTGGTATAGGTTAGGTCTGCATACTCAGTGTACCCGGGGGGGGGGGACCCCATATGGGTGGGTTATACTGGTTCATTTGGTTTGGTTTGGTTAAGGAGAAGACGGTAAATATAATCTGATGCAGATCTTTACTCTTCAAGTTGTCCATTTTTAATACCTTCAACGAAGCTTAGAATATCCATTGACTATATGCTGTCAACAGGTGGCTATTGCTTTGGAACAAGCTGCACTATCAGATGGGTACTTTGTTAAACGAAAGTTGTACCCGAATGTTGATTTCTATTCTGGGCTTATTTATAGGTATATCTTGAGATCTTTCTTTCATCCAATTCTGCTGGCTAAATGTCAGATATGTCTACCGATGTGCTAACTTTTTCTTGGAACAGGGCAATGGGTTTCCCAACGGAGTTCTTTCCTGTTCTCTTTGCAATACCTCGAATGGCTGGCTATTTATCCCACTGGCGAGAGTCGCTTGATGACCCTGATACAAAGATCATGAGGCCTGCACAGGTCTGTTTCTCAACTCCCCTTAAATTTTGGTGGAATGTTTGTGCTGCTCGATATTTTCAACAAAAAAGGAACTTTCCCCCCTAATCTATGGCTTTCAGTTGTACTTTCTGATTGTTCTACTTACCCTTTTGCAAGCCGGGGGTGCCTCTTCGTCTCTCGAGACTGAGGTAAGAGCATCCACAATTGAGCTTTTCTAAAAGCTTTTTACCACATAAGATTATGAGTAAGCTCCTGACAGAAAAAAGCCACTTCTTGCTTGGCCACCTAAGCTTGTGGGTCCCACTTTTTTGGAAAAAACTTGCTATTGTGGATGCTATAAGGTCTGTGTACATCCTACCCCGACCATACCTTAGGGTGGGATATACTAGGTTTTGTTTGTGTTCATTTTTATTTATATGTGGTGCTCCATCGTGTTCAGGTGTACACGGGTATATGGATGCGCCATTACATTCCTGCCCAAGAACGGATGTCATCAGCATCGACTGAAGCTGTAGTAGATAAGCTAGGTCAGCTGGCCGTATCCAATGCCACAAGGCGGCGGTTATCTGGGTCCGGGGTATGAACGGGTCCATCTTCTGCATGTTTCGACTTTCAGGCAAGTAAAAATAAGTGCCCACCAGATTGGTTTTAATAGACTCATCATTCAATTGTCTGATTGTTATATGGTGTTTGTATGGTAATGGTGTGTATCATTAAGAACTTGTGTTTCGATATATCTGTCACGATAACAGTTGCTTATGGATTTTAATTCTATAATGATGATATCGTTTCCAATTCTTATAAGAACCTCACATCCTTTGAGTTTTTTGTACAATTCTAATGAGATGCAGCTAATTAATTCTCGTATCAAACGCTATTCATGGAGTATGGGTGAGATTAAAAGTGATCAAAGTTCCTATTTTGATTCTATAACCATTGCTTATAGGCAATATCATAGTTATTATTTAATTATAATATATGATATTTGGTGATTTTAATGAAATTATAAGATTACATATTTTGTGTAATTAGATATATAAGAGAATGAGTAAGGTTGTATTTAAGCTACAATACAGATAAGTAAATGCATACTCGTATAAGTTATTTAGAGTCCGGATTCGCTGAATGGCATATACGACTCCAAAGCACAATTAACGGAATAATTTATATTATAAATTATAAAATTTAAATTATGATATATACAAAGCTTCAATAATATAATCCCAATAATCCCACATCAATAATATAAAAATTACAATTTATAGTTACTAATATTTGATATAAATAATTAAATTTTATACATGTTAATCATTTTAACATTACAAACTAATCAACATTTCATATATATTTAAATTCGAGACATGTAAATTAAATTATTGTTGATTAATAATAAGATTAATTTTGAATCAAAATATATATAAATTAATTAACTTAATCTGAAAGAAAACATTAAGAGAACAATAAAAATGGAAACAAACAAGAGTGAGAAAAATTAAAATTTAATTGATAGGAGATAATTAAGTTGATGATGAGAGAGAATTAAGTTAATTGGAGAGAGAGGGTATAAAGGGACTGTTCGGTTCATTTTCCAATTAAGTCTTATATGGATAAATCTGTCTGTATTGATAATTTCGTATAAGAGCCAACAAAGCTACTCATGCACCTGGAGCGAGCCACCTGGCGATTGAGGGTTCTGTCTGTATGATATTTGATAAGTTGTTGTTCGGTTGTTATGCTGAATAAACAATTTGAATAGTGAAAATGACTATTTTACCCTTTGTTTATATTAAACATTTGTAAATCAAATTTTAGAAACACAAAATTGAACCAAAACCTAGATACAAGATCTTTAACCAGAACCCAAATAGTAAAAGAACTGATGTGGCCAAACCAATCGATTAAAGAACAAATAACAAAAGAACAATATCATAACCTAGATACAAATATTGTTAACATCAACACATTCCGACATTATAGTAATAATTACCTCAAAATCCTTAGACTAAAACCATTAAAATCAGCAACTGAATTTTATAGATCTAGCGAACTCAGATAATCAAATCATACAGGATAGAGTAGAAATTAATATTAGAAGATGAAAGGTTTGAATAAGTGGCTGAGTCCATAGAACTCCACTTTTCTGGCTGACCGGTTAGGCCATCGGCTGACCGAATAAGCCAGAAGCGAACAACAATATATGGCTGACCGAATAAGTCATACAGGCTTAACAACCCATTAAGCCATTACCGAACAACCCTTAGCCATTATTAACTTAATAAACTAATTATTAAATAAGTAAAAAAAAATTAATTTTTTATTTGTTTTGGTATATAAATCACTAAGGGGCTGTTTGGCGTTTGCTGAATGATTTGATGTAGAATGATTAAAAGATTCTTATAATATAGTACAAAAATGAAATATAATTATTTGATAATTATTCAGAATGAAATTAAGGTGTTGAATGGTTAAGGGAGACCCATGATACAAAATCATTCAGAGTATTATAGAATCATTAAGAGACAATTTTTTTTTTGACAAACAATATTCACCTCTTAGCGGTTCAGAAGCTGACTATTAATGGAACTATTAAAAGATAAACAAACAAACCTTAATACATTTTTGATTGTTGGGTTTTCACTTTTACAATCATCGTGACTAGCTATAACGCCTTTAAATTTCATTGCTAGAAAATATGACGTTTTGTTTTATTTCAAGAAAGGATAATAAACGTCATTGCAACCCGATAAAATATGTAGCAGGATATTTAATTTACAAACTTAACAAGAATAACAGCCCTTGGTTTAGATGAATCTTCAAGTCTAAACAACAATTATAAGACTGAATCAAAACATAATCTTCAAAATTAAAGTTTAAATTATGGCTAGATCTTTTCCTAGTCTTTGTCCACACATGACTTTTGTTCTTAAGTTTTTTACCTATATATATATATATATATATATATATATATATATATATATATATAAGGTTCGGTTCACGTGAGACCAAAGGTTTTTCGTGAGACCCGTAAGACAAATTTATGTTCATTGATCAACATTATAAGTTAATGATCTAATGGTCTAAAGTTGCACGATGACAATTTTGAGAAGTCTCGTAACAAACAATTTTGTGTTAACTTTGAAAACAATGACAACCAATCAAATTTTATTCTTCTTGTAGGTTTATGTCATGTTCACATTTTAATTACAAGGGTATTTCARTAAATTGATTTGATATATAACTCCCAAACAATTAATGGGGAGTTACAAATCATCAAATCCCAAAAAATATGCATTTATAATATTAATATTTTTATATTTTTTAATCTTGATCTTCCATGTTTATTGTTTTATCAGTTTTTAATTCGCATAGAAAACACGGTAGTAATTTTTTTTTGGTATCAATCAAGCTAATATGGATAAACGCAATGGAATATAAATAGACAACACTGAGAAGATTAAAATGGTTTATGATGACAATCGGAGTTCGAGGTCGGAAATTGAAGAAATTAACCAAAGCGAATGTCTTGGTAATAGATTTTTATTTATTTTTAGATTCGTTTTAATCGAAATTATGTTCATTACGATGTGTTGTGTTTCTTGTAATTCATCTTGTATTGATAACTTTTTTTTTAATTACTAAAATACGTACCTAAATCACATGTTCAAATGGAAGTACATGCACGACCCATTTTCATATTGTCATATTACCGACTTTTATGAATTATGAACCATTGTGTTCATGTTACGTCAATCATATGAACACAAGTGTTATTTTTTAAGCTTGATACCAAATCTTTATATTTGTGTAAGTGTTTGCACCCGGTGTTCATAGCGTTGGGGTTATGTGTTCATATATTTTATACGATATGAACAAGGGGTGAACACGATATGAACAAGCGATGAACAACCATATAAGATCAGAAACATATATGAACAAGGGGTGAACCTTAAACGGTCTGGATGCAATGCATGTATAAAACTCCAATTGACAAAGGATCGCTCATGAATGTGTTTATAATGAAGGAACTATTGTTCACAAGTTGTTCATATCGTGTTCATACCTGTTTTTTTATTTATTTCCTTTCGTATTTTTCTTATTATGTTCATATTGTGTTCATAAATGCTATGCAGTCCAAATTCATATATATGTCAAATTTTTGTTCGTATTTGACACAATGGTTCATATATATATATATATATATATATATATATAGTTGTGTTCATATGGTTCTTACATTAACAAAAATAAATTAACAAAAAAATCAAAGAATTTTTTATATTGTAACTCCTAATTAATTAATGATATGGGAGTTACATATTTTTTTTTATACCTAAATACCCTTTTCAATTTTGTTCACTTATCTTTATGAAATTGTAAATTAAAAAAATTAAGTTTTTATCATGATTAATCACAACCGTTTATTGAAAGATTGAATGACCAAGATCGGTTAACAAAGTTAACACAAAAACTTTGGTTAACATTTGAACAT